CTTTCTGAATTATAAACCAACTCCCTTGTTTTGTCTAACATGATTACTTTAATTGATTCACCAAATCTGATAATGTCAAATTCAAATTCGTTTTATATTTATTTCACTTTTTAACCAGCCCACCCGACAAAAAATTTCTGATTCTGCATAAAGATTTCAATATTTTATGTTTGTATTTTAGACATAGGGTCAGACGGATAATGTTAGGAAGACCAAATTTCTAAACCAAATTTTGTAAATCAAATTATGCGGATATCGATGATTGGATTATTAATTAAGTCTGCAATCTAAGGAGTCAATGATTGTTGAGTTTGGAATTCGAGATGTCAAAGATGATTAAAACGAATTGTATGCCCTTACTCGGGAATTGTACCTTTTTAAACAACTGTTTTAACTAAACCTTTGTACTAACCCACGATCCTCAATGTTAACTAACTTCTTTACTATATAATCTTCACTTAAACCTCTCGGCCAAATTACCTTAGCAATTATTATTCTCCAAGCTTCAAAATTTCCAATCTTCCCAGAACTTCCTTGCCTTCACAGTTTCCTTGCTTTCGATTCTCTTCCATCTTCTTTCCAACATATTCAATGGCACCCAAAGCTGCTTCATCTTCCTACGAGTCTGGTGAGAGGATCGTCACCATGCGCCACTTGCTCAATGGCCTTCATCGCCATCGAGCTGGCCTGAATACTTCTCTTTGCTTCGACGAAGGGGGAGTACACACTTTGGGACCAGCATAGACCTCTAAGGTCCCAATTAATGTGGAGAACAACATGCCCAAGGCAAATTGGTTCACCCCCAAACCGTACTCGGCCGAGTCAGGAATTTCTTCTTTTAAGTGGTCAACTCATCGTCAAGGCTTTCCCTTGATGAAGGATGAGGCATGGGCACAATGGGTAAATGAGCTCGAACCCATTTTCAAGAAGAAGTGGATGAATAATGGCATCTGCGAACTCATCTTGCTCTCAAAGGTCACATTGGTTACCAAGCCCTAGCTTCTGACTACAGCCCTTCTCTTTTGGAATTCGGGGACCAACACCTTCGATTTCAAGATGGGTCCCATGTTCCCAACCATCATCGACATGGCTCAAGTCTTCGGGCTAAGGCCTTCGGGCAAAGTCGTGGATATTACCTATGACTGGTCTTCCTCCTTTCACCCGGCGACTGAAGGTTCGGGCAATTTTGAGTCTCTTACCCGATTGGAGCACAACTCTTCCACTTTTAAGAGATATGGTACTTCGTTCATAGGTTTTATCCCATTTGTTAAGAAGAGTTTTAGCCCGACCCCTTCTAATGCCAACAGAGATCAAGAGCACATGTACTTCCTGTTGTAATGGCTCAACAAGCACACCTTCACCAACAAGTCCAAGGGAGTAAAGGTCGAGTGGATCCCCTTGGTGGAAACCCTTCATTCTTTTGATGATGTAGCTACGAGCCTCTTCCTTCTTGCTCACCTCTACCACATTTTCTTCAAAATGACTAGGGTGAACCCTTTGAAACCAACCTCAACAAGCCAACCTGCATAGTCCAGTTGTGGTTGCAATGGTACTTTCCCGAGCTTCGGGCACCAAAACTAGAATTCCCTGAAGACGTGGCTCTTGCCCTCATCTTAGCTGAGGCTTCTCCCACCAACCATTCCACATTCTCTTGCATTTATTTCTTCAAAGTCTGCTGGACTCGGGCGGACTTGGAATGGGGAGCTTTAGTACTTAGGAGGTATCTGTGGTTTTCGGACCAACTCTTTTAAGATGCTTTTGGAGAAGATGCCAACTCTTTCTACAATGAGAGGTTCATAAGCTACATCTAGCAGAAAGATCTAGCATAGGAAGCAAGGAGCAACTGTTATGATCATCAAGATTCATGCAATCAAAGCAATCAATGGCTTCATGACTAGTGGAACCATAAATCTAACAGATGATATGATTTCCAGAGAAATTAGAACCACGAAACCTTTGATTCTGACCTCGATTTGAAGAATTTCCGCAAAAATTGCCCCAAGAACCACGATTATGATGGAAGCTTGATTAGCACCATTCTGCCAATGTTTTGAATCGTAAAAGATGCATACAAATTCGACGAAGGGTTATATACAAAATGGTCCCTGAGATTTGCATGATCGATAGAAATGGTCCCTAAGATTGTCTACCATCCATGATTTTAGTCCTTCTGTTAAGAATGATTTTGGGCAATTTTCAAACTTTGTAACTCAATCGTTTCTTAACCATATTCGACCCATAATAAATCAAAATGAAGATAGGAAAGTGTAGAATAAGATTACACCTATTTGGAAGCCCAATGGTTGCCATAGATGGCCGGAAAATAGCCTGAAAGATGACTGGTCCGCGAGAAAACTGGAAAACTTGCTGGAAACTGGGTAAACTTAAACATTCATAACTTCTTCAATACTCAACCAAATCGAGTGATTCAAAAACAAAAATAATACTTCTTGATGAGACGAAAAGAGTGGTATCTTTTTCGAAGGCTAACTCACTGTGGTTTGATCGGACAATGGCTCGAAATTGGCTAACCATTTTCGAGTTAGTCAATTTCGAGAAGTTTTCCGGCCAAACCACGGCGAGCTAGCAGTAAGTAAGATACCATTTTCTTCATCTCATGGATTAGTATGATTTTTGTTTTTGAATTACTCGATTTGGTTGAGTATTGAAGAAGTTATGAATGTTTAAACTTTACCGAGTTTCCAGCGAGTTTTCCAGTTTTCCCGCGGACCAATCACCTTTCAGGCTATTTTTCGGCCATCTCTGGAAATCATTGGGCTTCCAAATAGGTGTAATCTTATTCTACACTTTCTTATCTTCATTTTGATATATTATGGGTCGAATTTGGTTAAAATTTGATTGAGTTACAAAGCTTTAAAAATTGCCCAAAGAGTTTTTAACGGAATGACCAAAATCATGGATGGTGGACAATCTCAGGAACCATTTCTATTGATCATGCAAATTTCAGGGATCATTTTGTATAATAACCCTTCGACGAATATGTGATATTAGGGTTTTCAGAAGAGGAATTGAGGACTGGATGTTGAAGCGATTCATGTTGAGATGATGACTCAAAAGGAGAAGCCATGGCAATGAAGATGAAAATCCTTGAAAATAATCAAGAAATCAGAGATGCGAAGTGAAGACGATGAGGATCGAGAAGGCCGGAAGACAAGTGGCGAAGGATACCATATAGAAACTTAAGACTTTCTTTGAACGTTTTCTTCGAGACTAAGAAAAGTATATTTCTCATTAAATCACAAATAATGGATACAATCACTAATATATAGTCTTTGACTATTTTCTCTCTAACCAACCAAAACAGAATACTTTATAACAAACCTATAAGAAACTAACAAGAACATTTGATATGACTTGGCATTTTCTTCTTTTTAACTCCTTTTATCTTTTGAATACAAGCTATTACTACTTTAATTTACAGTATGTTCCGAGAGGGGGAAGGTTTGAACCTGACCCTTCTCCCCATTGATCTTCACTTAACATCCAGGGTTTTCTTCTAAGTTTTTGCTTTTTCCTTATAGCATTGACCCCTCGCAGCCTTCAGAGTGTGGGTTGAATAACCACCCACATGGTTTTGGCTGTTCGGATGAAGTAGATTAGGATAGGTTTATTCAGCTTAAAAAAAAAAAAAAAAAAAAAACCATTTGAACTTGATAGGGTGTTGGGTTTCTATCCATGCGTCCCAGATTCAAAACTCCTCCTCTCGTAAATTATTGTAATAATTTCAAACTCTTCTTTTATCCCTAATAATTGTAAATTTAAAAATAAATAAATAAAAACATTTGAACTCGTGATAGATTAGGAACTTATAGTTCTTTGTACTTCTATACATTTTGGAATGACTACCATCAAAGCTTTCCTGGATATTTGTAATATTGAACGAGTTACTTCTTTGTTGTTGTTGAAGAATGAGTTCGATTCTTTTAAATTTTTAGTTGTTTAAGGCTGATCTTTCTATAATACTAAAAAAAGGTTGATCTATCGTAGTCTATGGTTTCTATCAAAAACGAAAAAAAAATTGACCCTTCTTAACAAATTTTCTGACTCTGATATGAAAATAAATTAAAGCAACTATACGAACTAAAACAAACAGAACGTGCAAATAAATAAAAGATGTGTGTATAAATCATTTTCCTCATTTTAAACATATACGCAGCTTGCTCTCTTATATTTGGTAAATAATAGGACCAAAATCAGTAGCGGAGAGAAGATGGAGTCATTGGGATCCTATGATCCCAAGAAGGCCTATTGTCTCCCATTAATTATACACTACATAAGGAGGTTTCTTTTTTTTTTTTTTTTTTTTTTTTAATTTATTATTATCAAGGGGAGAGGGAGAGTTCAAAACTATTATAACAGTGTATATCATTCCAACATTTTATATACTAGGACGTTGGATCACACATATCGGTTACATAAAATGTTGAATCTGATATAATACATCTATACGGGTAATATTATTGTTATTATTCCTCCATTAAGAAAAAAATCTTAACTCCGCCACTGATCAAAATTGAAAGACATGCAAAGATATATAATGAAATATCAATACAGCTGCCAAACCAGCAAACCCTAAACAGCCCAATGTTAGAAATTCCCAGGTGCTTCATCTAATTACCGATTAGGTCTAACTCCAATGGCGAATGTTGGAAGCACAGTATAAACCCGAAATATATTATAATTCCTTTGAAGCATGAAATTGCAGTGCATGCAGTCTAAAAAGGTTGAATTATTAATTCGTACACGGCTTCGAAAGTCTTGATCTTCCAGAACATGAATGTATTATGTGCACTTTCTTATCCTCTCTGTGAAATTGACTTTCAACGGTTCCAATGTACGTGATCATCTCTTACAAGTTAAAGACATCAAATACATGATAACTTTTGTACTAACCAGCAGAGACGCCAAAATGTAATGTAAATTCAACACTATATTATTGCTTTGTGGATAAACTAATGTTCCACACTTTTTGAAAGACATGCAAAGATAATGAAATATCGATCGATATAGCTGCCAAACTAGCAAACCGTAAATAAGAGTTTCTTTTAATTTCTTCAAACGAATGTGACCCTAGCCCTAGCAGCATGCATATAATGTGATCCTTACTATCATTCCACGTCCTCATTGCTACGTTTTCATCATCTGATGCTACTGCAGCTAAAAAAATGATTGATTGGGTCAAAGTATATATTGTGAAGGACTTCATTCATCCTCTCTAGATCTTTACCTTTTCATTTCCGTCACAGAATGAATCTTCATGTTCGATCTCCTTTTCATGAAAACATTACCACATCAAAGTCACAAGAAAGTAGGTATATATGTTGATCGAGAAAATTTGCACATGTATGTGAATAACTAATTACATTCGGTTTTTCAGCACTTAATAACTTCAATTTCGCAACTTGTTTCCCAACTCTTTTCTTAACTTCTCAGATTGAAGACCACACTTCCATCTACTAAACCCACCCAAGAACCACTTCGAATAACCACCATATGTGGAGGTTTAAGGCCGCGGAATTTGATGAGTTCCGATTGCCTTATCCTTTGTTTGGCGAATTGGCTAAAGGGCGACTGTCTCTACTACCTAACCTTTTAGCCCATAATCCCAGGAGTAAAACTGGACCAACCCCGACATCACTACACCACCGTAGGTGGCGAGTCAATGATATGAAGTTGACGGCACCCACGGCCTATACTGCCACTTTGTCTCAGGTATAAAGTTGTTCTCAAGTTGAGTTATACATGCTGTAAAAATTTGGTGAACTTTAAAGTTGGTCGGAAAACTGAGTTCTTGTTCGCCAGAAACCACCTCGAGCGGCAGTGAGTGGGAAACTCAAATGACATGGATTTTGGCATCAATACATACTCAATACCTTAAGCCCATGCATGTTCGAATGTTTGATTAATTATTCAATGTTTGAGATAATTCTACCGCCGTTTTAATTTTCGTCATTGACGACAGTTTGACTGTTGGATCATTATGCAACTTATTGGGCATGCTAGTTGATTTTAGACTTTTAGAACTTGTGGAACGAAAATTTGACGTTCGAATCTTCTAGATTTGAGAATCTAGGGTTGTTGATCCTAACAGGGCCTACTTTGGCCGACTGTTGACTTTTTATTCAACGTGCCCTAAATTATTCTGGTGTATCATTTATCTATAGGATTTTGAGTTAAGACTTGTATGTTTTATTAGGCGTTGATCATGTCTGAGTTCATGCTAGTTGGTAGCAGTGTGGACTTTTGTGCTTTATTACGTGTTGATTGTATATTATGTTGTCATATGACAGATGTGTAATCCTATTATCCATCTTGTAATTCTACCATTTTTGCGAAGATTAGTAAGATATCTTTCTTCATGAATAGCTTTCAACTTAATCAAAATATGAAAATTGTAGTTAACACTCCAAAAATTTAATTGTTACACAACTTCAATGATTAGCATCCTGAAAATATTTCTGCAGTTCAAACTTCGAACGTTTCTTTTAAATGACAATATTAATGTAAGATGAAAGATTCCCACAACCCTGAAGCCTCCACTTGAAGACCAAAAGATTGCCCCCAACCTCAACATTTTCGGCCAAATAAGCAACTATATTAATTTTGCGACCAAGAAGAGAAGAGAAGAAAAAAAAAAAAAAAAAAAAAAAAGACTTTCAAAGTCTCTCTCCACAAATAATGTTGCATGGTTTGATTAGGTAAATAATATTTGTCGATCGCATATAAACCTAGGGATGTGCTATCCACACACTTCATTTTACTTCTTACACATCTCTTGTTAATTTTTATCAGTTGATTTTCTTCAATTCATCTAATTCAACGGCGAAAAATTAGAAGAGTATGCGAAAAGTAAAATAGGGTGTGTGAATATCACACCCCTAAACCTAAGCTTTCAAGAAATTCCCACGTGCCTCGTGTAATTACTTGTTAGGTCTAACTAACTCCAATGGCCTATGTTGGAAGTACAGGACAAACATGAGAGAGAGAGAGAGAGAGAGAGAGAGATATGTTGGAAGTACAAGACCAACATGAGAGAGAGATAGACAGACAGAGACAGAGAGAGACAGAGGCAGAGAGAGAGAGAGAGGGGATTAAGGGACAAATATCTTTACACTCCTTATTAGCCCTTAGATCCTTTTTAATCTAATGGTCATAATTAAAAGTTAGGGTAAATATCAGTTTACTATCCTCAAGTTTCTTAGTTTTCAACATTTGGTACGTGAAGTTTTTTTTGTCCTAGAGTCATACCTAAAGTGTTAATTTTGAGACAGTCTCATACATCCGTTAGTTTGATTGTTAAATCAGCCATTAACTGATGACGTGGCCCTCACGTAAACAATGACTAAGCGCCACATGTAAATCTGGGTCCACGTGGATATTAAAAAATTGAAAAAAAACTAAAACAAAAATTTAAATTTAAAAAACTAAAAACCAAGCCTAAACCTAAAAAATTTAAAATTGCCCTCTTGGTCGTCGCCCTCTTCTTCACACAATTTCCAAACCCAGCTACCAACCCTTCAACCATATCAATTGACCCGAACGGGCTAACTGGGATCTAATTGAAGGAAAATAGTTCGCTGCACAATCTCTTCATCTCCGACGACGGCGGTGCAAGCAGAAGCTCCTCTTTACACTCATTCCGACTCTCGGCAAACCCATTAGTGGAATCCTTAAGCTTTCTAAGAGTGTACCAATGTCCCCACCCCAAATGCGAAACCTTCGGCGCAACGATCATCCCCTAGTCCCTAGACTAAGCCTTCCCGCTGCCATGCGACGACCCACCACCGCAGCCCTTCTCCGGGTACTAAATCTGGTGGTCCTTTCCAATCTCCATGTGAATTCTCTATCGGCCGCCGCTCCCAGCAGGGCTGTCATGGTGTTCGTCCTACTTGAGAAACAGGGGTTGAGCTTTGGCAGAGTCCGAGTCAGCAACCGGGTCAGGATGGCTCTAGTGGTTGATGGGTTTTAGGTCGGGCTATGATAGGTTGTTCCGTAAGTCGTCAATTCAGATTTCTTGGATCTCTTTGGAGACGTTTGGGATGGCGGAGGAGTTGTGTGTAAAGGTCTTAGCTTGCGAGGAGTTGCTGTTGTTGCAGCTGGAAGTGAACCAGAGCGAAATGAGGAAGAAGACGAGAACAATGGCAGCTCCGACGCAATTCCCAAAACAACCCACAAATGCAAACCGAAAATAGAGGTCATTCTTCAATGAGTGAAGCAAAGCAGTTTTCCAAAGGATGATGACTTACTCGATTTGGGTAACTTAGGTAGCAGCTTGGGTGGTCTCAGTGGACTGGGAGGAACAAGTGGGTTGGGTTAGGCCGTGCAGCTGATGGCTTTCTGTGTTGGATAGAGAAGAAGAAACAGAGAGAGGAAGAAGGTTGAGTGCAAAGGCTGGTGGCAACTTTAAATTTTTTAGGTTTAGATTTGGTTTTTAGTTTTTTAAATTTTAAATTTTGTTTTATTTTTATTTAAAATTTTTTTAATATCCACGTGGATCCCTTAATGATACGTAGCGTCCAGTCATTGTCCACATAGGCACCATGTCATTAGTTAACGGCAGACTTAACAGTTTGACTAATGAATGTATGAGACTGTCCCAAAATTTACACTTTAGGTATGACTCTGGGACGAAAAAAACTTGATGTACTAAATGTTGAAAACCACGAAACATGAAGGTAGTAAATAGAGATTTACCCTAAAAGTTAAGATTATTGTTATAATTTAGTAGGTGATGAGGCGATGACTTAGAATAAATTAACATAAACCTCTACTAAAAATTCAAAATATTTTGAAGAGAGTCCTGTTGCACCTAAACCATTTATCTTCCTTGGCAAACACTATCTTCCTTCATGCCATTGTGTTGTGCATCAAATAAAAATTGTTGCTAAATCCAAAATAAAGAAGGACAACGAGAGAGATTTTGATTTGTTCTTTTGTTTATATTATGCAATAACCAGCCAATAGAAAGCTTTCTTGTCAATCAAGGACATACTTAAGGAATTTGATGTAAATCAGTTTTAGGGTTAAAACCTCATCCCTTTCTAGGAAGATTCAATTTTGTTTTCCCGACTATATCCATATTCAAATTCTGGGCTAAGAAACCGGGGGATCTTCAGTGATTGAACCAAATAGAAAAAAATAAAAATTTAACGGGGCGAGAGTTATGAATCTATCTTCTTCAACCCACTTTTTATACCTTCCCATCATATTTACAGGCAACCCATGAAAATATAGTATTGATACTGTAGGATTCGAGAGAGGGGAGAGAACAAGAAAAAGAAAGTGAAAAAGTCAGTTAGGTTGTATGGAGCGAGATTGATATATCCATGATTGTGTTCTTGTCATCTTAATTAACAACGGCATAGGGAGTTAGATGAAGATGGAGGCTCCGAAGTGTTTAAGTTTCCATATCCTAATAATTTTTCCTTAAAATTTTTTAATTGATTAATGTCTTTTTATTTCCATGTCATCAGCGCCACATCATTTAGTAGTTTAGATGAGTCATATTAGTTTTATTCAGGACCATTGGATTCAAATAAATCTAAAGAGTAACAAGGAGTGTAAAAGTATTTGTAAAATCATTTGTCCCTTGATCTTATCCCATAAATATATCTCTGTGTGTGTGTATTCATGAATGATGGTAGACAATCTAATTATAATTCCTCTGAAGCATGAAATTGTAGTGCATGCAGTCTAAAAAGGCTGAATTATTAATTCGTATACGGCTTGGAAAGTCTTGATCTTCCAGAACATGAATGTATTCCGTGCATTCTCTTAACCCCTCTGTGAAATTGACTTTCAACGGTTCCAAAGTGCGTGATCATCTCTTACAAGTTAAAGACATCAAATACATGATAACTTTTGCTACTAATTAGCAGAGACGCCAAAATGTAATTTAAATTCAACACTATATTATTGCTTTGTGGATAAACTAATGTTCCGCACTTTTTGAATTACAAATCAACTTCCTTTACTTGTCTAACATGATTGGGTTAAGTGATTCACCATCTGATACTGTACAAATTCAAATTCATTTTATATTTATTTCACTTTTTGACTAGCTCACCCGCTGAAAATTTCTGATTTTGCATAAAGATTTCAATACTCTATGTTTGAATTTCAAACATAAGATCAGACGGATAATGTTAGAAGACCAAAATTTTAAACTAAATTTGCAAACAAATGATGTGGATATAGATTATTGGATTATTACTTAATTATTTTAAATATTGATTAACGTGTTTATTTCTTATTAGTGACACATCATTTGATTTGTAAATTTGGTTTAAAATTTGGTGTCACTAACATTATTCTAAGATATATGGTCAATGTAAGCTTATAACTAAGCTAGACATTAAAATAATTGATTGTACGAAGAATTAAGTCAAGGAGGTGAGAGGTTCATAACCACATCATACATGGATCATATTAAGCACGTTCTGAGCGTTCGTGTTAGTGGGGTACACCGACCTCTGATTAGTGCGCACCAAACAATAATTGTCAGCTCAAATTTAAAAGTAAACTTCAGATTTGAACTGGGCCTAAGAGTTGCTCATCACCCAGTGGACTCCGTTCACCCAAAAACATGGGCCTGTCAAAACCTCCTCGGTCGCCTCCTGCCAGATTTACAGCGTACCACCTTCCCAACTGAAGCCCATTATCCTACCTCTGAACCGAAAAGTTCTCAACTGTAAAATCTTCTCTCTTTCTGCAACATAGCGAAGAATCTGCAATAGCAGTTCTGAAAGCTTTGATTTTCTTGATTTGAATCCAATTTCTCTGCATGTCAGTCAATGTGTTGCCGGAATTGGCAAATGGGCAAGTGGATTCATTGTCCCCGCCGTAGATTCTGCCGACAGGAAAAGCTTCCGGACGCATTGCCTCTGCCCATTTCACCCTCAACCTCCTCCCCCTTCTGGTAAGTCTTCTAATTTCCTTTGTTTCTTGTGTATATCATCATTAAATTTGAATTGGGTTCTTCGTAAATTGTTGGTTTTGTGGGTCTTTCTTGGTGGGTTTATCATTTCAATTTTTGCCTTTTCTTTCTTTCTTTCCGGTAATGTAACAGTGATTTATGCTTGGTTCCCGAGAAAATATCGACTTAAAAGAACTTTGATGTTTCGGATTGTTTATTTGTTCAACTGAGAAAATTATTGGAAATGTAAGGTGAGTTTGACAATATTCTGGAGAGCAATGCTAGAAAGCACTTGTTATAAGACACTCGTTTCGTATTAAAGACCGATAATTGGATATAGATTGGAGATTATATTCTAAATTTAACTGGGCTTCTAAGTAGTAGTGTGTTATGTGCTGTTTCGAAAGGCGGCTATTGCATTTTTAGATCTTTGCTATCTTCAGTATGCGTAAAAAGAAGCCGTGTGTAACATAACTAATTCCGTCGCGCGCATTGTAAGTACTGTTCTAAAAATCTCCGTTAGTGCCACCTAGCTGGCCACTGTCCCAATTAATGTCTAGACGTTTGAAAATTAAGAAAGGGCGTCTAAAACTGCTGAGATGCCCGTCTAGACCGCCTAGGTTGCGACTCAATTAGGCGGACAATATATAACTTTAATTTTGCATTTTATTTTTATCAATAAATTGTAAGATAGTGGCTGCATACTTAAATGAACACACATTATATCCTTGGTCCCTATGTTTTCATTATGTTCTAATATTTCATAATACATTGTCATTCTATTTTGTAGTTTATGATGAAAATATATATATTTTAATTATAAGCAAACACTTATTTACACGAAATATAACATATTTACTTAAATCCTCCTAGTCAGCATAGGCGCCCGCCTTCCGACTACCGCCTAGCGTCTTTTAGAACCTGATTGTAAGGTTTCTATCATAATTTCATAGACTATGGAAATTGTTCATAGAGATGTTTCTTCTCTGATGCATCATAGTATTAGTTCTAGGTATTACTTGTTAGTGATGTGGGTTCTCTACTTGTGTTTTCCCATTCGTTTTAATACTGGGTGGTTATGTGGCTTGTTTTTGATGTTGTACAAGACACGTGCGGATTTAATTCTGTATCATTTGAAAGAGTCATCCTGGCAGCAATGGTGTTGGATATTACTCGAATCTTACTAGTTTTGTTTTTTTCATTCGTAGGGAGTTGGGCAGACATCAATGGCCTCCCCTGTGACACCTCTCTGCCTAATCCAAATGCGTATATAGATACAATAGACTGGAACCCCATTATCGATCCTGCGCTCGTTAAGGAGGTGGATCATGAATACTTTGCTCCTGATGAGGGAGAAGGGAATGGCAAGATATTCAGATTTTGTTCCTCCCGATGAACATAACATGACCCTAGATAATCATACAAATCCTTGGTAATGTGACAACATTCAGGGTAGTGGACATTTGATAAATACAGCTCGGGGCAGGAACCAGCGGGAGACTAATGGTGACGGCCCTTGGGAATGTGGAATTACTCAAGGCAATGAAAGTACGAAGAAAAATACATGGGAAGATAGCAGGAATGAGTCGCTGGGATGGAACCAGGTGGGGGACAGTATCACTCCAACAAAGGGTTGGGATAATGGTGTCAATTCTTGGGAAGGAGGCTATCAGGACGTGCCTCAGTGAAAGGTGGTACATGGGCTGATCCGGTATCGAATTCTTGGGGCTGCAACCAGGAGTCAAAAGACTTGGGTCGTGGTGAAAATTCTTGGGAGTATGGTCTTAGTCGAAACAGCATGTCTCTAAATGATAAAGAATGGAGAGATCGTGGAGAAGATGAATGGAGTCGGAAACAGTGGGAGAGCCAGAATAACCAGAAAAATAATTTGGATTTTAGGATAACAAATAGTGGTCGGGGAGCAAGGAACGACGGTGGCCATAAGACACCCTCACCAGTATAGATCAGGCAATAAAAGCTCAAGATTTCAATGGAGGGAATATCAAACAGGTAACAGAAAGAGGGTAAGTTTTGCGTAAGAGTAGCGAGTGCTAGAAGACGAGGTATCCCTTTTGGTTCGTGTGTTTTGAATTGCCAGCCTCATAATAGTAGATATGCAGGCATGATCGACATGTATATATGTCATTTCTGTTATATCATCTCCTACAGGAAAATGTTCTTCCACAGAGAGCAATTCGATGAATCGTCCAACCTTCCGGGGTGGTAAACAGCATCCATCCGATGAATCAATAGCGTTGCGGGTTTTGAATTTTGATGGTTACACGCAACTTTTGCAGCACGTATCATTGCACAATTACTCGACAATTACTCGAATGTATTAATAGCAGAGCGTTGTCCTGCAGATGCTTTCCCGGAAAGAAGTGAGATACATATAATGTTTACTGGATAAGCTCACAATAATAAATTGACTAGCAACAACAACAAAGCTTTTTTTCACTAAGTGAGGTTGGCTATATGAATTCTAGAATGCCATTGCGCTCGGTTCTGTGACGTCTAATGCTAAATTGACTGGCAAAGTTATAAATTCCTTGATTGGTTAAGTTTTTTGCTTTGTCCAAAAGCAGCTTTCTGCTTATAGCATCAAGCAAGTGGTAACCGAACATATGGTGTTGCTTTGTTCAAAAGCAGCTTTCCGCTTACAGCATCACGCAGGTGGTATCCGAACAAATGGTATCCGCTTACAGTCCTGATGCGTAAATGGATACCACATGTTCTGGCTTTCAAAGAGAGCAAAATCATACGTTAGGGAATCCTGGTAACATAGAAATTAGAAGCTCAAAGACAACCTATCTTACTTTCAAAAACTTGAAAACAACAGAAAAAAAAAAAAAACGAGACAGTAAACTTATCGACCGTATTATACAAGTAGCTCATTGATAATATTTGTACAATTCCGCTGAACATTCCATGTCTCAACGAACTTATGTTCCGATGATGTACGAGTACAACATTGGATATAAACAAATGAATTATTTCTCATCATACAACTTTGGACTTGGTTTAGGCTCCTGTTATAATTCAGGATTATGTTGGCTTCGATTGCAGCTTCATTCTAAAATTTTGGATCAATGATGACATATAATCACGCGTACTAGTGATCAAACCATCTCTAGGTTTGTGCATACTAGCAATCAACCATTGATATTCTGATAGCGTAGATTCAGTTAAGGGCTCCAAAAACTCACACCTTTCCAAAATCTCAGGTGGCGGTACTCCTGCCACGAGGTTTGTGTCCAGTTTCGGCTTACCCTTGAGCTCTTTCAAATCTTCAGGCTGAGCACTATCAAGCACAGAAGGGGAAGCTCCTGGGATTACCTCCTGCTTAAAAGGGAGTGTTCTAGCAGTTTGCAAGCAGAACTCCATCCATTGATGGACGAGTGGAGACGGCCCTCTAACTCGCCCCCCAATTCGATTTGTTTCAAGCCGACTGGCGGCAGGGATTGCCTAGAAAAAGAACAAAAATTATAAATTGACATATGGGAGAAGATACAATATAGGGGATAACGTAAATGTCTAAGAGAGCATGATGGAGGATGTACCCATAAATCTGCCCATATACTAGCTCCATTTTTGGAACAATTACTGCAACATCAGACATGCGTTTGGCAACAGGAAGAACATCACTGCTCCACCCAACAGCCACCCACACGTCTCCAACCCCAAATGTTTTTAAATAATGTACACTGTCAAATAGTCGGACCTACAGAAAGCCAATGAGCATGTCACGATTCTTTTGCAAATAATCATGAAACATGTTCATCACATAAGACATCAGAACTGCGCAAGCCACAGCTAGAAATACCCTAAATAAGTAGAATAATTTTAAGTCATAGTTCCAAAACTGAGGTCCATTCCCTAAATTTAGCTCCAGACTTGGGAGCAATCTACTTTTCCACTAGTTAATCAAGTACACCCTCACCCAAAGCAAAGATGTTAGATTTTTTCTCTCAATACCTGTTTTACAAGTAAAGCCAGATTTTGCCTGACAGCATCTCTCCCACCGTCAACTTGCGAATGGATGTGTTTTGTGTTGTATGATGCTCCCATATACTTCAATACTGCACCAATAACCTCTCTAGGAGAATCAACCATAGAAATCTTCCCTGCAAGTTCAGGTCGCCATAAATCTGCCCAGTCCTGCAATGGTGGTTTTACAACTCTTAGAATGTTGTACATAAGATAATATTTTTAAGAATCCAAAATGTGCCAGATTCAAATGAAAGCCAGCGAGTACGAATTTTAACATATGTTTCAGCAAGCAAATTTACCCCTTGAATCATTTTTCAAGCTTCTTTTCATAAATTTTCCCACTTCATAGAATATTGTGTTTATCAATCAAATGTTATACTTTGAGGTAAAGAGTACTGATATAAAAATAGAGTTTAATTAAAAAGAATTAGCAGATAATAAACAGTTCAGGGACATGTTTACCTCTACAGGAGCCAACTTATGCTTTCGAAATTTACTTTTTTTGTATGCTATCACCATGCAGCCCCAGCGATATGGCGCAGCCCATACTTTACCATCAGCGTCAATTCTCCCCTCAGAGTTCCTGCGGAGATATACCTGAGTCATTTTTAGTAAAAGTAAAACACCATAACTGATTTCTGAGTGAACAAAAAGGCATTGCCAATTCGAAAGAATGGAAACAGTACTCCAAATGCAAGAAAATGCATAAACTACATATGAAACACACACAATAAAACTCAAAACCAGTATTAAAGCATAGTAGAAAAACCACACAAGATAATAATACTGATTCCAGTGTCTGGCATGCCAGGTGAAACATCTAAGCAGGTTTTCCCTTCACATGTTATCTACATGTCTATTACCCCCTTCAATATATTCTATTTGATTCCTGAGTTTCTGGTTACACAACATTTAGCTTAGAAATGCGTTGTAACAATTAATTCAGGACAGATAGCCCCCGTGATCAAAACAGCGAAAAGATAAGTTAAATCTCTTCTTAGAAATTACTGTGAAAGAAGATATATATCTGTAGTTTTCGGGGCCTACCCTCTTCATACATATTTAATATTTATAGTAAAGCTAATGATATATTCCATCACATGGAGTTAGTAAAGCTAAAAAGATATATTCCATCACATGGAGTTAGTAATACTGTAATACATTTTTTTTAGTCCTCTGATTTGTGGTCATGAACACAAGCCTTGTATTTCAATTAACCGATGACCATTTTACAGTTTTCACAACATATAAACCTTAAATGGCATGGCCAGAAATGAGCATAGCAAGGCATTACTCAATGTATAATACAGGGAGCCAAAGGAACACAATTTTTCAGAATCCAGAATCAAGAGGACATGAAAGAGCAGTTGTTTTCTTACTTTCCATCGGTCACTCAAGCCTTTAAACCAATCCTGGTCTTCTACCCCTTGTATGGGCTCAATCACAGCCTTGCTAATGGCATAATTGAGCCAAGAGTCCCCAACACTAACGAGGTCAGCTGCGACGACAGATGAAGGCCCAACATTGCCTTTGCTAAAGGCCATTGATAGATCAGAAAAGATGCCCTCAAGGCTTGCATGCGACTTCATGTGAACCTTTGATCTTTTTCCTTGAGATTGCATAAAGTCCTACATTGTCAAAAGGAAATAAATTAAGTTAGTCACTCTAAAAGAATAAAATAATTCAACACTTGTAATCCCAGCTACCTACCAAACTGAATACCAAATCTGATGTCATATGACGAAATACAGAAAAAAAAAAAAAAAAAGCACCTAATACCTTAACCCATGAAGGAGGCACAGAGCCGCGGAGAGCAGCAAGTCTCAAAGGGACTGTCAAAGCATAAGTCTTAGACTTCCAAGCTGCAAATGCTGCTTCCAACTTGTTATCTTCCAATTTTTCCAAACTTTCAGATTTAGCTTCATTTCCATCATCTTTGGCTGTGCTCATCAAATGTACAATTTCAAAAACTACAGTTATGTGAAACAAACCTGCCTTATTGATAAAAAAAAAAGCTAAACTCAACTGATTTGAGAAATTACCTTGGGCTGTGTGCTCCTCCTCTAGAACCACTTGAGGCTTGCCAAGAGGAAGAGGCCGACATTGAGCCGAACTGGCCCAACAGCAAACCCCAAGCCCAACAAAGACTGCGGTGGAGGCGGCAAGTCGAACCAGGGCTTGAGGCACAGCGGAGGTGGGAGGCTCCGGCACCGGCAAATGTGGAGTGAGGTTGAGGCCACAAGAGAATGTGAGAGGCCTATGATCGTGGAACCTTGGTAGGGGTTTGGTAGAGAAGAAGAAGGTGAGCTTAGAGCTATGGGGACCAGAGCGGTCTAAGGGGAAAGGGATGTATGATGGTACCACCAACACAGCAGCAGCCATATTCACAGGAGTTTTAGTAATTGGGCTGAAAATGTGATGACAGAGGGAGCACAGTATAATGTGATCAGGTAGCAACCCGAAAGCATTTCATTTCTCGTGGCACTTAAAATCTACAAAGTACGCAAATGAGAACAGAATTAGAACAATTTCATTTCTCAAGACTCTGAACCACTACATCCAAAACAATCACCTTCGCCCCTAATTTCACTTACGCTTCTAAAATCCAAACGAAAACAAAAACAAAAAACAAAAAACAAACAACGAAAATGTATGAACTTTTATTACTTTTAAAGTGAAGAATTACAATCTAGCAGTTTAGAAGGATTATTTGCTACTTGCAAGAACATCAAGACAGTTGTCCCTTTTACGATAATCCGGGCATTTCGGTATTGTTTTACAATAATCAAGCAATTCAACATTACTTTTTTTCCCTCTTACAACAATGCGTCCATTTCCGGTTCGATATGCGTCCAAGATTCTTCAAGAAATAAGTATACATATCCAAAAATCATCGACTGCACAAGTATATACAAATAATCTGTAACCAAATTTATGGTTCGTAAACCCTAAATTAGCAGGAAAATTAGAAAATTACAAAACCCCTAATCACCAAATGGAAAAGAAAGTAGCTCACCTCTTTCAGTGTGTGTCATTAGCTGCGAGCGTGAGGGACGACGGCCAACAGAGGAGAGAGGACACTCTGCGCACTGCAGACAACTGAGCAAAGAGAGAGTGAGAGAGAGCTCAGAGAAGAAGACGACGCTCTGCAGTGATGATAATAATCATTTTTTATTTTTTATTTTATTTAAAAGGGAACAGCCGGTGGCCATTTTGTCACTACATTATCAAACGAAAAGAATTAGAGAGAAAGGGGCAGCAACAAATTTTAAAATGCCACCTCAGTCCCCACCCCCTAAATTCCAGATCTTCCACGGCCACCGCAAGCCCACACAGAACCGCCCCACCGTCCGCGGCGGCCTCTTCTCCGACCGTGTCTCTCAGCCGAGCCGCAAATACCCCACCACCGTAACCCAATCCCAGCCCTTCGATCTCTCCAAGTGGGACCCACACCTGCCCCAAACCTCGCCGTCCACTTCATCGCCCAACCCCGACGACACGACCCTCCTCTCGTTCCTCTCCCCCATCGCCCGCTTCATACTCGATGCTTTCCGCAAGAACCGGAACCACTGGGGCCCGCCAGTCGTCTCGGAGCTCCGGAAGCTCCGCCGGGTCACGCCGGACCTCGTCGCCGAGGTGCTCAAGGTCCAGAATGAACCCGTTTCGGCCTCCAAGTTCTTCCACTGGGCAGGTAAGCAAAAGGGTTTCAAGCACACTTATGCTTCATACAATGCCTTGGCTTATTGTCTGAACCGGTCCAACCGGTTCCGGTCGGCGGACCAAGTCCCTGAGCTAATGGACTCGCAGGGCAAACCGCCGAGCGAGAAACAGTTTGAGATTCTCATCAGAATGCACTCTGATGCCAATAGAGGTCTCAGGGTTTATTATGTGTATGAAAAAATGAAGAAATTTGGGGTTAAACCCAGGGTTTTCTTGTACAATAGGATCATGGATGCGTTGGCGAAAACGGGTTATTTGGATTTGGCCTTATCGGTTTACGATGACTTTCGTGATGATGGATTGGTGGAGGAGAGTGTTACTTTCATGATCTTGATAAAGGGTATGTGTAAAATGGGAAGAATTGATGAAATGTTGCAGCTTTTGGAGAGAATGAGGGCGAATTTGTGTAAACCGGACGTGTTTGCATACACGGCAATGATTAAGGTTTTGCTTTCAGAGGGGAACTTAGATGGGTGTTTGAGGGTTTGGGAGGAAATGAAGAGAGATAGGGTTGAGGCTGATGCTATGGCATATGCAACTCTGGTTACAGGGTTGTGTAAGGGTGGCAGGGTGGAGAAAGGGTACGAATTGTTTAGGGAGATGAAGGCGAAGGGTTTCTTGATTGATAGAGCGATATACGGGGTGTTGATTGAGGGGTTTGTGGCGGACAGGAAGGTTGGGGTGGCTTGTGATTTGTTGAAGGATTTGGTGGACTCGGGCTATAGGCCAGATTTGGGGATATATAATTCTCTTATCGAGGGTTTATGTAATGTGAAGCGGGTTGATAAGGCTTATAAAATTTTCCGAGTTACTGTTCAAGAGGGTCTTCAGCCAGATTTCGCTACGGTGAATCCCATTTTGGTGCTCTATGCTGAGACAAGTAGAGTGGATAAGTTCTGCGAGATGCTTGCACAGATGGAGAAATGTGGTTTTCCTGTCATTGACGATCTTTCGAAATTCTTCTCCTTATTGTAGGAAAGGAGGATGGAGTAACAATGGGTTTGGAAGTGTTTGAAGAGTTAAAAGTCAAAGGTTATTATAGTTTAGGAATCTACAATATCTTTATGGAGGCCCTCCACAAATCTGGGAAAGTGAAAAAAGCATTGTCTCTCTTTAATGAAACGAAGGATGTGGGTTTGCAGCCCGACTCCTTTACTTACAGCATTGCCATAATGTGTTTTGTTGAAGATGGGGACATCCATGAGGCTTGTGCCTGTTATAATAAAATAATTGAGATGTCTTGTGTTCCTTTGATTGCTGCCTACCGTTCGCTTGCTAGAGGGCTTTGTAAAATTGGAGAGATTGACGCCGTTATGCTGTTACTTCGTGACTGCTTAGCCAGCGTGACAAGTGGACCCTTGGAATTCAAGTATTCTCTTACCATTCTTCATGCATGTAAATCAAATAATGCTGAGAAGGTGGTTGAGGTGCTAAATGAGATGATACAGCAGGGTTGTCCTCCAGATGATGTTGTATACTCTGCTATAATCTCTGGCATGTGTAAGCATGGCACAATAGAGGAGGCAAGAAAAATATTTTCAAATTTGAAAGAGCACAAAATTTTAACAGAAGCCAACATGATTGTGTATGATGAAGTATTAATTGAACACATGAAGAAGAAGACGGCAGATCTGGTGGTGTCTGGTTTGAAATTTTTTGGATTAGAAAACAAATTGAAAGCAAAGGGTTGTAAGCTGCTGTTGTGATGAAATTATAAAGGCAGGTACGGAATTCATTGATTACTTCGGACTTTCCTTCTGTTGCAATTCGCTTATAATGCATGAAATTGTATCGAGTGGTGAGAACACTCCATTTAAGATGCATCTATGGAGGAGGCACACATCTTCGGGTTGTGAGGCGTCTTATTAGCTGGCATTGCCAATGATGTTCGCTTTTGGGTGTCTCATGAATATTCCAACAGGTTAGTTTTGTACTGTAAAGCCTTGTTTTAAAGTTTAAACCTTTGCTTCCAATAATGTTACAGTTTATTTTCCGTTGCTTTGCTTTGGTTAGCTGATTCTTGCTTGTTCTTCTTTTAGTTCTTCATCTTTAGTTAGCTGATTTTTGCTTGTTTAGTTGGCATCTTTTGGGAAATTGGAGATTAAACCTAAACTCAATCATATTATTGTTACCATTCTTTTTATCCGGAAGTCTAGGACTCAAATTATTATGCAACCTGGAAACAAAATGATGTGCTTTTTTTAACCTACTTCAGCTACAAGTTTGTAGAAATGCATACAGCTAAATAGTAGGAGAGGCCAGTGAACTCTTATTGAAGCTAGAACTTTTGGTTTGGCAGCTTGTGATTGGGGTTGCTTGGCAAGTGTCTTCTGGCCACTATGATTCTGCTGAATGTGGGTACCCTGCTTTCTTTGTTTCTCTGCAACTTTCTCAGCCGTGGTCTCAATGTGTTTTGGAGGTTCAGTGTACAATTTGGCTCAGAGACCCTGGTAGGGACTCTCTATGTTGGTTTGCTGGTCGTTCATTTTGGTCGTTGCTTGAATGGCAGTATATTTTCCTAGTGGGAGATAAACAACTGTTCTGGTACTAAGACGTCGCAAATTAAAATTCAATGTGAGTGTATTCCCTGATGATACGGATATATGTTTCTCTCAAGGCAAGCTCCAAATTCCAATATCAAGGAAATTGGATGGCAAAGAAGAGAAGCAGTTCCAGATTGCAGGAATTGAGGTACTCTGAATTCTTCAATGATCGGTCGAAGATTCCAGATATATAATGTTCATAATCTGTCGAGAGAAATTGTGACTGCTATAATGTTCACCTTCATCTGGAGGAGAAGCCCTCTCGCAATACGCAAAGAAACCTTTGAGTTTTGACATGTGAGGTTTAAATGCATTGATTTGTATTAGGGCTGTCGTCTAATACCGAGAAGAGAAGTACCTCTAGACCAACGACTATGTTAGTAAACCGTCTTACGTGAATATGAAACGGTTATTTTTTCACAACCCCTTAATATTCTGTGCCTGTTGTACAAATGATGTATGTTCATTCCATATTTCTTTTTCTACATACAAAATACACAACGCATACATTCACCGGAATTAAACCATCAAGCTCGCCATTCGCTCTTATTCTCGAGGGGCGCTTGGCACAACATTCTAATGTTAACATGCATTTGACATACAAAACTGTCAAAAAAATGTTGACAGTTCCTCGGATCTCTTTCTTTCTGGTACATTGAAAGATTCATAATGCACGGCCGCAGGCTGATCTAAGCACAAAACTAAACCTTAACGAGCAAGAAACCGAAGCCTAGACTTCCCTTTTGGGCCGGTTGCGGGTACGGGGAAGTGCAGGCATTTCTTCTATCGAACTGTCAGCTTCGCCATCCTCATCCGTTTCCCTGATCGCTTGGTTGATTGCCATCTACATCAAGAACACAAACACTATGACTACTACAGAAGCATCAACAGAAACAAAATCCAGTAGCTTATGAACATCACAAAGAAAAAGACTCTGAAACTATGCTTTTTTTTTTTTTTTTAGCAGCGCTCACAAAATGCTCACTTTCCTGCCCCTGCTATTCAACTAGGTTCCAACGATGAGTTTTCGATTACTCGAAACTGCACCATCAGAGTTGCATTACACATAAATCTCTTAAGAACATGGAAGCTGCACCCGAAATCACGAGTTAATCTCGGTGACAAAGTACTTAATTAACCGTTAAACACACGAGAAAACTACTACACAACAATTGCACGCACGAGAGATATTGCTCTGCTACGATTAAAACAAACTACTTTAAACGAGAGATTAGAAACTGGAAAAACTCGTAACAAAGCAAGGCGGAGTTCATTTGTGATTGCTTCGGTAGGAAAGCACTTCTGCTCGTAAGTGTTTCTGCAAAAAGCGTTTTACTATAAACATATTGAAATTTTTGTTAAAAACTTAGCGCTTTTGCTTCCAGAACATAATCAAAAGCGTCTTTCGAGTTTAATTCATATGCTATATGAATGCAGTCACAGGTATTCAAATATTCGGAAGCATTAAACCGCATGCATATCAAAGAACGGAGTTGCAGAAATTCGACAAACCTCTTCAAGGAAGTCTCTGTCGAGCTTATCGGCGACTCTGATGGAGGTGAAAACGGTGACGGCGATCAGAGAGAGCGGCAAAACGAATGCGAACACGTACTGGCTTGTGGTGGGCCCCGCACGTGTCACCACCGCTAGGCCTCTGGTTTGCCGGCCGGGATACCGTGACGCCGGCGTGATGGGCACACGCGGAGGGATGAATGAAGCACGTGAAAGTGGGGCGAGTGGTGGAGGAGAGAGAGCGAGTGAGGCTGTGTTGGAGATGAGAAGCTTTGCCATGGCAGCAGCTTGGCTCTTCCGCTCGGAGTGGATAAGGTTATCATTTTGCTTTTTATAAAATAACGGCAGGTTACCTTAACGTCGCCTCTCTTAATTAAAAATAAATCTCGCTTCTTATTTGTATGGAATGGGAGTACTTTGTTCTTGATTTACTAAAAATTGTGTTTATAATCGAAATCATTCATATTATAAATCATTTAGTAGGAAACGTCTTTATGAGAAAATATATGCATATATATATATATATATATATATATATATTCAGTTTAGTCAAATTCAAATTCGAATCATGAGAGAGTTGTTGGAATTCGTCATTATACAGTAAAAAAAATAAATAGTCAAATTCAGTAAACACATTACGAATCATTCATGTATTTGTTACACTTAATTGACTAAACGATTTTTTTTAATTAATTTTTTATGAAATGATATTTATAAGTATTTAAGGGCAAAAATTGCCCTATCCGTTGGGGGCCGGGGCCCCCGGGGGGGGGGGGTGGAGGCCAGGTCAAACCTTCTACTATTGGTGCGAAATGTAAGGAGTCTTGGTCTCGAGCTAAGCTAGGACATGATTTAATTCTCATAATAAGAGTGATTGCGCCGCAAGACCAAGTGAAAATATATCTCGAGGTTTTGCCACTTTGAAACAAAAAGTTTCAAAATATCGAAAAAATTCACTCAATCTCTCATCCCTAGATTCCTTGCCAACCAGAATTAATTCACTTTCCTTTTCTGAATTATAATATGAACATTTTCCATCATAAACACAATTTTGTGAATTGACCACAAAGTATTTTAAAGTAGCCAAGCGTTCCTCTTTGTATGCAAGAAAGAAAAAGGAATCTAATCCCATTTGTGCTCGAATTCAAAGTATTTTGCCTACTAAAGAAGCCAAGCGTTATACATATCAAATGTGAATCTCAAATTCTCAATTTAAATGTTACATTCACTATACAAAATTGAAAAGAATAGATTACACTCATAATGCATGAATATAGGGCCGGATCCGTGGAACAGCTTTTTTTTACACAACTTTTGATACATGTTTTTGTAAAACCTACTTCGTAATGTATTTTAATGATTCAATCATGATAAAGGACCTTATTTTACACTTCCACACTGGCCTGGTTATCGTCCATTCCCGGAGGGGACAATGGTGGAACAGCCACTTCTTGAAATTCAGCAGTTTCAATATCCAAGGCCTTCCTGGCAGTAGCCTTACTCTCTCTGCTTCTACCAATCTTCCTCAATGACGGGTGGGATTCGGAGGCAGCAGCTCTCGAGGAGCTACTACCATTAATGGTCAGCAAAAACTTTTCTTTTGAGAGAGTTGTTGGGGCAGATGCAATAACGGAGCTGAAGACACCCGACTCCCTTAGTCCTTTTATTATGGCCTGAAATGTACGGTGAGTGAAAGCTTTAAAACGATACAGAATGAGGTTTTGAGGTTTTGTCAATACTTTCACGAAAATCATTTGTTAATTACATTATTTAAATGAGTTGATCAGCTACAAAAAATTTAAGTTTGAGTTGATCGGCTTACCATGGGAGCGTATATCCGAGTCAAAATTCCCTTTCTCAAAAGTTTGATTCTTATGTCTTTGTCATCCCACACAATGTGTTCATGGTACCTAGAACGAAAGACAAGCGCAGACTTTAATTCACAATAAAGGATTAAAAAGAAGGTTTCACCATACTTCAAATTTTAAAGTTAAAGGAGGATCAAGATAAATGTAATAACTTGTAAAGAAAATCTTACCACTTCTGCATTTCCTCCTTGGTTGCAGTTGATGCAATTATGAATGCCTGCAATGCTACATGTTGTTAGTATATGAAAGAGTTAGCACGATGAAATGCAAACGAAAAAGCAAGCTCAAGAGCTGGCAGCTATTACACCAAAAGAAAGAGGAAATATAAGGGAAAAGACAAGTCCACTGTTCTATTACAAATCTCGTAGAATATTAGCCAAATCTGCAAAATGGTTTCAGAAGACCACTTTGCCCGATATGGAGCACTTTAAGTTATGCTTGGAGTTGGAAAAACTATATTCCCTTTTAGATTTCCAAGTAACCGCTCTACCAATAGATATATATTTAAATTTTCAAGAACTCTATTGCAGGGACCAACTCGGTAACTTTACAAAGTTAACTGATCGCATTATATGCTCGATGATCTTGTACCGGTAGTTAGAGAGTTTAGAAAGAACTAACTAAAGAATTGAACTCACAGATCTGTCAAACTCCAACATAAAGCATCTTTTGACATCTTCCTTTGTAGGCTTGCAGCGACACCGATCACGTCTAGATGTTAAGTCTGAAAATTTGGCATATGTGTAGTGCAGAACAGCAGCCTCTTCAAATTTGATCTCGCTAAGAAGGAAATATGATATATATGATTACTATGACCAATAAGTTGACCCCAAAACACTGTTCTTTCCAACATAAAATTACCGTACTTTGGGGTCTTCATATAATTGTGCCATCTGTGTGCACCGTTAGGACGAAGATGATCTTGGACTCGAGCAGCCGATTTCCCATTTCCATAAGTCAAAAAGTAGTTTGGGTTACCATGAACTGACTCTTTATACATACCAAAGTATGTGTCTTTTGGTACATGGTCATAATTCCTCTTAAACATGGAAACCTGATTTCGTAGATACAAGAGCAAGGCATAAGACAAAGACAGGACATGCATGCTAATTGAAATGTAAAAATAAACATGAAGTGAAGCATTCCTAGAATCAACTGGGATACATTTATTTAAAGTACTATTTCTCATTCTGGAAGTACAAAGTCAGAAAGACCTTGTCTACGACTCTACTGCTCGTAACTACCAAATCTTTATCCAGCACCATCTGTATCATAAATATTACTCACTCTAATCCCACACTTACGTACTTGTCTTTGAAGAATATGCCCTTATTTGAACTAACACATTAACTTCCAAGTTTTATGTCTAGATATGAAAAGAGGCAGATCTTGGTAAAAATTTAGAACAATATGTTTGGTCTAATCCATAAATTCAGAATAAATGCTTGTCACTGTCTAACAACCATATCCTTGCATAGTCCAACAGGGCAACAATATACTGCTGCTTCCCAGCATGTTAAATCTAAGACTATGGATAAGGTTACAAACTCGTCACAAATTCAAAGTTATGGTATGCAGGTTAAAGACCTTACCAAGCTGACTGCCCATATAGAATAGCAAATATCAATCTTGTAATTGTTGAACTTCAGAGATCTAATGAAAGTTATTGAAGCAAGTAAGAAGCAATAATGATGGACAACAGAGGAGATTCACCTCAGTAAATGGTTCCTTAATATCATCCCGTTCAACACTGCTCTCCTGCACAAAACAAACAACCAGTTAGTTAAATCACCGAATAACATGCATAAGGACGGAAACGGGCGCCAATACTCAAAAATAACAAGCCTAGCATGCTTAATCATCTTTACACGTACACAACTTAAAAGTAACTGAATATTTCACTTACATAGTTCGGGAAAATGACCATATCCACATTCCCAGGCACATCAAGCAGCAACTGCCTTAAAGAATACTCCTTGGCCCCAGCTGGGTGCAGTAACTCATCCGTGTCAACATGAATTATCCAGTCCATTCCAGCATCCTAATAGTTTTATATGCAACACAAAATCCCAAGCAACAAAAGAGATTAATAAATTAAGAAAACCTCTCATCACAAGGTAAAAGTAACAAAATAGGCACAAGTAACATGAGAAAAATCTTTCATACCCTTGCCATGACAATAGCCATCTCCATGTTGAGAGACTGCTTCACAAATAGCTCATAATTGCAAGGTTTGTAAAAGAAACTGGACAGCCAAGTCTCATTCCAGATCCGACTGATGGTAACAAAAGAACAAGAAACATAAAACACAAGTGATTTAAGCAAAAATGTATGCAGAATTATTCTCAGAAGCAACAGCACTGCTGATATGTCCACCATTTGAACAACTGTGCTTGCTGTTCAAACAGCACAGTAACGTTGTGTTTCTTTTTATTTAGTCTAGTTTTCAATCCATTTTCCCTACAAGGTTATTATTTTGTGTAGAGTCGATTTAGGGCTTAGTCTTTAGATTTTAACTCTCAACTCCACGAACTTAGTATCCGTGAAATCAGGAGTTACAACCAAAGCCCTAAACAACTGTGTTTTGCTTTTTTTATTGCGCAAATTGAATAGCCAGAGGGGTCATTTGAATCATCCTGGTGCCACATTCCGGCTACCGTCCCAAAGCTGGATTGTTGGTATGTATAAATGTGTGGGTATCTACCAGTCTACAGGAAAAGGACAAACAAATAAAAGATGTTCAAGCATTTAGAGATGTTGGTCATGTTAATCAAAATATCCAGGACTCTTAAGTCTTAACAATACGAGAAGATTACATTATAGTAAGCACAAGACAGGCACCAAGTGTCAGTGGCAGAATCAACTCACCTTTTAGCTTGTTGTTCCTCAAGCTCTTTAGTTCTGTATATCACCTTTACTCCCTGATAAAGTACCACAAAATTTATGCTCGACAATTTTCACCATATTAAGCATTGGAAAAATGCATTTGTAAAATATTAAAAAAAATTACAATTAAAAAAAAAAAAAAAACACGGAAAAGAAAAATAAAGGGGAGAAGAAGGCAACTGAACAGGACGTAGGCAGTCAGAGTGAAGTATTATTTAACTCACAGGAATAGACTCCAGAACTTTAGATACTTCAGGAGATGCAGCCTTTCCTTCCACAAATAAGAAAAAGGTAGTAGCTCCAATAACCTTGTGATAAAACATCCACGGCAAAATCTGTTCTAAACCAGCTGATGTACTTGTAGTAATACATATCTGCACAAAACTCTAACTTAATAAGAGACGAAAAATGCATTCCCCCAAAATGCATACCGTCCTGATATTAGTATGCAGCACTCATTACATAACAAACCATCATCGATCATCCAAACAATTGGGTTACATAAAATTTAAAGTGCTATAAACAATGAAACAAGACATCGCATTATATGCAGAGCATCACACTTGTTAAAAAGGATTAGAAGGGGCATATTTCCCAAAATTTAACACGATAGAACAGGAAGGTTCAAATGATACGTAACTTACACAATCAAGTTCCACTACCCAACAAATTACTCTGAATACCAGGATGATAAAGTCTGATAAGTAAATGGTGGTGTTATCATATTTTCTCACTGCAAGCACAGGTTGTTAATGAAACAATTGTATTATGTTTATCTATTGGACAACCAAGCCGCTAATGCATAAACACTAGACCATACATAACACTCTGTAGCTGTGCAGGATGTCAGATCTGTAGAGAAGGGACTCCACGGGTTTCAAACTTTAATTCGTAGCATGAGACAACTTCTTCGCAAGCATGAAGCATACCGCCTAGTGTATTCCATTAACAAGTCTACTAGGAAAGCAAGGTTGGGTTCGATATTGCCAGAAAAAGGATGAACATAGTTCACATTTCACAACATTTGAGATCAATGAGAGGACAGCATTGTTGCTCACCGCCCCAGTAATTCCCCTTAGACGAGTTTAACTGAATTTGGAGATTCGTCACATATTTGTGAGCAAAAATGCAAAGAATTTGAAATATGAAGTGAACAGTACATGTATAAACAGCCTCAAAGTCATAAACTTCAATCTACAAAAAGGAAAATCCAGATACAGATCCACACGACCACTCAGAAAATTCAAAATTTCAAACACAGCAGTACAAACAAAACCCACTAAACCCAAATCCAAAACAAGCAAAACCCAGAATCAGATCAACCTCCAATCCATGAAAGAACGAAAAAATCATACCTTTGGTCTTAAATTGGATACAGTATCAAACTTCCAATTCTGATAGTAGGGAATCGAAGGCGAAGCTGAACGACCGAGACTAAGGCAATCGGAGGGCGAGGAATGGACGACGGCGGAGGAAAGAGGAGATGCGTCCATGCCAGGGAAGAGGTGGTGGGAACCAGGAGGGGACCAGCGGGTGGTGGGGTCGGGGATGCCGCCACGCCATTGGAGGATGAAAGCTAAGGCAGCGAGAGAGAGGGGGAGGAGAGTGAGGAGGAGGAGGAGCTTCGATGTAAAGGTTTGAGAGGACGAGGATGGTGGGGCTGATCGGAGAGGGGCATGGAGGTGGTTGTGGTGGTGGTTGGTCATGGTCGTTTTTTGTCGGTCGTGAGAGTCGTTGATGGTCTTTACATTACAAGCTTTGCTGGGAGTTCAAGAAACACAGGTTGTCTTTTAAAATAAAAATATAAAATGAGTAATGCCACGTATATTTGTAAGTAAAATTTTATAAACTAAATAATATTGAAGTTAAATAATTAGATTATTACTTAATCATTGATAAAAGTGCTTATTTTTTATTGGTAACACATCATTTGGTTTACAAGATAAATTTAGTCTCCATAACATTACTCATATAAAATTGGCCGTAATTAAATATGTAACAACCCGTTCTCGAATTTACAGAACGAAATGGCAATGTTGTAATTTCATTTTGGTTTGGGATCTTTTTATTTTAAAAATTATTTACGAGTCTTAATGTGTGTACCCGTAAGGCCCATCTGTTTTGGTTTTGTTCCCCGGGGCCCAAGTCTCTCTCTTTCACTCTTAGATCTCTCTCCCTCAACTCTCACTCTCATCTCTCCCCTCATAACTCTCTCCTCTCTTTTCCCCTCGCTGCACCTTATCTACCCCAAGGACCATCACCCACATATACACACCCACACACACGCTAACTCTCCCTCGGACCTCCCTCGTTCCTCTTCTCCCTCTACAATTACAAGGACCGAGACCACCCACATTGTTTTTTTAGTGCGTTCCTTGTCTCTCCGGGCAAGGTATGCCACGAGAATGCCCTAAATCTTGTACATACATCTTTGTGGTTCGATTTTGCACATGTGTGTGTATTTTGGACTGGTTTAGGACAAAAGATAACTCGGGGGAATGCTTGCCTAGTTTTCCGACGAATACTGAAGGTTTGCAGGCATTTTCCAACCACATTTCGGCCACGCCTGGCCCCGAGGAAGGTATAATTCGATTCCTTAGGTTCTGGGCTTTAATTTGGTATATTGTGGTGACTTTTAATTGAGATTTGAGCCCTGTCGAAGCTCGGGAACTTTCCCGGCCGAAAACTGACTTTCACTTCTTTTGGACTCCGGCGAGTTGCAAAGGAAACTGGGCCAAGCCCAACCCAGTTGCCAGGTCCTAAGTCCAAAACCCAAATAAGCCTAGCCCAGTCCTAAACCCAAACCCAATTGTACTCGGCCCAAAAATTGAGTTTAGAACCCAGCCCAAGTTCTCAACCCGTTTGCCCAACCCAGAACCCCCAACCGACCCAACCCTTAGGCCATGTAACCAGCCCAAGCCTTTAACCCATTAGGCCCAACCCACCCAAACCTAACTCGAACCCAAACCCAAGGCCCGAATCAATTTGGATCCAACCCAACACATTGGACCCGGTTGACTATTAATTTCTGGTCAACGCTGACCGTTGACCGTTGACTGGTCAACGTTAACTTTTTTGGGTTTTGTCCGGGACCCCTCTGAAGCTAATTTCGATGTCCTGAACCTGTTTCCGACGTCTGTTTTCCCAAATTCAATCGTTTGAATAAAGTTTTATTAATTGGACCCTTTATGTGCATAGGTGCATTTGTTAGCGGCGTTTCCATATTTGCTAGTTTGCGTGGCTCTTTGATGGTGAAGTATATGTGAGTAAACTGCTTCCAAAATGCATGATTTTACTATTAGAAATGCATACATGAATGTATGATTTTATGGATACGTTTTATTAGACATTTATGAGAAAATTGGATTCATGCTTTATGATTATCATGTTTTACTGAGAATATTTTGGCATACCATGATTTATCGATTTTTACTCTCTTTGTAGTATATATGAATGATGACTATATACTATGAAGATGTTTTGAGATATAATGTTTGAGCTATTAAACACCGTTGAGATATATACTTATGCTGGAAAGATTATATTTAATGTTTTGTCCCTATCTAGTGGTCATTGTTCTACCTACGGGCGATGATACTTATATTGCCTTCGGGCGGGCGTGTGTAAGGCATTGTTCTGTGTGATGATACTTTTATTGGCTTCAGCCGGAAGATACTTATATATGATACCATTCGTTAGCACACTATATATGATATATGTTTTATGAAAGATATTATGGCATGCTAGGGATTTCGTAAAACTTATTACTTATTATGCTATACGAGTTTTCTAAACATGGGCATTAGTATGTTAAAGATTAACTGTTTTCGTATTATTTATATATCAGCTTGGTCCACTCATGTTTTGTTTTGCGCCCCCTCAGGACTTAGAATTAAGGCGTAAAATTTCGACATCAAGGCACTCCCGCATCAGCACCTTCGAGTCATTTCGGTGTAGGAGCCATCATCTTGTTCATTCAAATTTTATATTATTTCCTTTTTAGTATCTCAGTGTAGTTGTATGTTTTGAACACATTCCTCATATATATAATCATTGTATTTAAATTAATACTATTTTAGTCATATTCATTCTACACATGCATGTTAGTATGGATTCGTCACATTCAGGTGTCGGCCAGTATGTGCCTACCCTGATGTTTGGGAGGATATTAGGGTCGAGCGTGTCAAAATAAGGACTTAGTAAGGTTTTAAAAGACTTTTTAAAGTGGTAGATTTGTCCTTATTCGTTAAATTTGTTTAATCAATCTACTATAACAATATATAAACGGTTTATAATGCAATATTTGATTTAGATTCGTATTCAAACTAAATTAGCCTCTTGCTATACGTCAAGCATGCAATAAACTCTAATTTATTGAATACTTTTTCTTAGCTTTTTTTTTTTGTTTCACCACACAAACATGAACAAATACCAAAAGACTCATATGGAGAATATGTTTTCCATATTTTATTTGTTATCCGCGTTTGTTGTTGTAATGCTTCAAATATACTCAACAATAGTTCGCGACTTAATGAATTCAATGTGACTTTCTTTCAAAGAGTATTTATCAAATATAGCCAAATATTAGTCTCTAATTTCAAAAATATCTTTTTTTTTTTATAAAAACTTTCAAATGTATCTAAATATCACTTAAATAGACACAATTACCCTTAAACTTTTAATCTAATAAATTTAAAATAAAATATATCATTGCATTATAAAAAAAAATAAAAAATAAAAAAATAAAAAAAACCAACACCCTATTAGAGGAATGAATTCTCACGGAAAAACCTAAAATTAGTGTTTTCTCTTATACTAGTCTTTCGGCTAATAGTAACCCAATAACTTTTCCTTTGAAAATCTAGTAGTTGACAGGGAAGATGGAACAATGCATCAAGCACTGGTAAAGATAATCAGGAATATAGATGAAGAAGTTGATGAAGAAGGCAATATACCAGAGTGAACAAATGATAATAAATTAACTTTCACTTGTCTCAAATTTAAAGGTTTGTACAACCAATATAAATAATAAAATGACATAAAGAAAATTGTATTCATTAAACTGTAAATTTAAAAGGGTTCTACAAAGTAGGATGGAGTTGAATGGGATTCCTACAAGTTTGCTTATAATGGCCATTTGAACCACATTTAGAATACCATCGAGTTGATTTTTCTTCTCCACATGATGAGATCCTCTTTTCTTTGCGCGTACCATATCTTCTTCATGTAATTGGTGGTAGGACAATTCTTTCACGCATATCATCAGTTACTATCCAATCGGTCTGATCACCAACTGGGCATATAGCTTCTGTATACGCAATGACCAAGGAGTTTCTAGTATAATAATGAGAACACATAGGATGATATGAAATTTGTCGGTGTCTACAAGCAACACAAGCATGTGAGCAAGGTATTTGGTTAGGATCAAATTGCCGGCATGTGCAACTCTTTTCCTCTAAATTGACAACTTCAACACGAGATCCATTGTATATATAAAATGAGTAAGCTGTGATGAGTGATACCTACATATTCACACACACACACACACACACATATATATAACTCAAACAAAAGAAGAACTAAACAACAACAACAAAAAAACAAAATTCGTATAAAAACTACAAAAAGCAATTGGCATAAAACTACAACAAAATTACGTTGAAGTTACATTAATGTCGGTTTTAACTTTTTTTTTTTGTCAAACCCAAGTTTTTAACTTTACTTTCTTATATTGCAAACATACATATATTTATTCTTTACTAAACATGGTACTGATGGATAAATTTACAGATTATTTGATATAAGAATCAGTAAAATAGTTCAAAAACTTGAGAACAAATCAAAATGTGCCAAAATTAAATAGATAAATTAAAATAAATTCTAGTTAAGTGAATGAAGTAAAATATCTGGAATGATAATCCTTTGCTTGTTATTTTCTTGCACCAACCCAATATGTCAAATGTGTATTTATTTTGGTTGCCTTGGTTCGATGCTCATAAAACCACTTCTGGAGAATATTGATTCCTAAATACTCAAGAAATCATGTGATAGGTAGCTTTCGAGCATCTTTGGTGATTGCATTAAGACATTTAGCAATATTTGTTGTCATGATGTTGTACCGCTTTCCATCAAAGTACACACGAGTCCACTTTTTGTATCCAACCGAATTAAGATAATCACCCACCTCATAGTCGATTTTATATATTTTTGTCATGAGAGGATGAAATTCAAGAACTTTGTATGCCTTGGCAACTGTAAAATACAGTTTGTGTGTTCTCTCATGCTTAAAATTGTGCCCAATGTTTTGACTTATATGAAATATGCATGCACTATGATGGGCATTGGGAAAAATAGTTGAGAGAGCCTTCCAAATGCTTTCATGTCTATCAGAAACGAACACGAAGTCATCAATTTCCCCAATTGCTCCTCATAATTTTGTCAAAAACCAATTCCATGATGCGTCATTCTCTGAATCTCCAACTCCAAATGCTAGAGGGTATATTTGTTTATTGTCGTCCATGCATGTAGCAACAAATAGGGTGCCAATATATTTACCCTTTAAAAACGTCCCATTGACTGCTATTACTGGCCTAATAGCACTTCGAAAACCTCTTATGCAAGGTCTAAGTGACATGAAATAGTACAAAAAACAATTATTCTCATCAGTTTCAATATGTGTTATAGTACCTAGATTTTTGGCTTCTAACATAGCAAAATAAGATGGAAGTAATGCATAAGATTCCTCCGGTGATCCCCTAACCAACTCCATTGCATGTTCCTTAGCTCTCCAAGCCTTCACATAACTTATACTCACACCTATGTCCTTCCGTACATCTTCTATGTTGTCACGTGGTCTATGTACTCGTGATACACCCTCATACTTAGACTTTATGCATTGACCAATAAGAGAACTACTTGCTTGTCGATGATGGCGATTGATAACTGTGAACACGAAAGTTCCTTGAAACAAGAAACAAGAATAACGTGTACAAAATAATATTTTTGTGTTTAATGATTTTGGGGTTACGATCTCTTTGTAATTTGATCCTCTGATTCTATCTCCGTAAGATGTAGATTTGTTGATCCAAGGGCCGTCAAGGCTTGATCTTGGATGAACAGTTGTAAGTTTCTTCAAGGGCCTTCGTGACTTTGATCTTGAAGGTTGATGGAAGTTTCTTCAAGGGCCTTCGGGGCTTGATCTTGAATGTTGATGGATGAGCGAATCTTCAAGGGCTTTTGGGCTTGATCTTGAAGAACGGTTGGTTTTCTTCAAGGGCCGTCGACGCTTGATCTTGAATGAACAGTTAGTTTTCTTCAAGGGCTTTTGGGCTTGATCTTGAAGAATGGGTGTATGGGTTTGTTGAGGTTGTTGATCCAAAGGGCCGTTGGGGCTTGATCTTAGGATGAACGGATGATGAATGGTGAATGCTTTCTTCAAGGGCCGTTGGGGCTTGATCTTGAATAATGGTTGTGTGGATTTCTTTAAGGGCTTTTGGGCTTGATCTTGAAGGTTGATGGATGAGCGGATCTTCAAGGGCTTTTGGGCTTAATCTTGAAGAACGATTGGATGTATGGATTTGTTAAGGTTGTTGATCCAAAGGGCCGTTGGGGCTTGAGCTTAGGATGAACGGATGAACACTTTTTTCAAGGGCCGTCGGGGCTTGATCTTGAAAGAGGATTTAACGAAGAACGAAGAGAGCTTTCTTGATCCTTCGGAATTCTTGGGAATTTGGATGGTTGGAAGCTTTGGAGTTTCAAAGCTTCAAGGATTTGGGGAATTCCTCTTCTAATTTTGGAGTAGAGAAATGTATTTGTGAATTCCTTGATGCTTGATACCTTGATGGAGAAGTCTATTTATAGGCTTTGAGAATGAATCACCACCACAAAAATATTTTTTCCTTTCCAAGCACCATTGCCTAATTTTCCCACTCAATGCAATATTGAAATTGAAGTGGTGTAACTTATGGCCTAATTTCTCACTTAATACCATTTTAAACTTGAAGTGGTCTAACTTATGGCCTAATTTCCCACTTAACACCATTTTAAACTTGAAATGTGTATGCTTTGTCATTGCCCAAATGAGAAAAACTTGCTTTGATCCGTAATGGATTGAAGTGTGCTTGCCTTGTCATTGCCCAACATGAGAAGAAAAACTTGTTTTGATCCTCAATGGATTGAAATGTACTTGCCTTGTCATTGCCCAAAATGAGAAGAAAAACTTGTTTAATCCTTCAAGGGTATTTCTTCCTATTTTGTTGAGTCACACGCCATGTGTACAATTTGTACAACACGTGGCGTATGCCATGTATGCCTTGACACGTCAAAACTTTAATGCATTGGTGAACATTTGTTTTACTGAAATTTCGATGTCTACAATAACATCTAATGAGCATGAGTGCATAGTAATGTATTTCCTGACCTTGAAATAGGATGATTGTCGTAATTTAGAGGCACATAGTTTCCACTTGCATTCATCGCTGACACAATCAACTTCAAACCTTTCTTTGCTTGGTCTCTTCACTTTGAATTCATAATTGTTCTTCATAGCATCAATACCCAACTTTTTTTTTAAAACCTCCTTAGTCTTGCACAATTGACCTATAACTATCTATCTATCTATCTGAATTGCATAGGTCTGCCATGTCTAATTCATGTACAATATTTTTACCCTTGTGAACATCTGATCGGTTAAAGCTGAGTTCATCAGATTGCATATTACTAGACATTTTCTGAAATATAAGCAAAACAATAGGCAAAGAAGAAAGTGACATACATATTGAAAATATTAATTTAATATTGGCCAAATTATTGGTACAGTTAATCGACAATTGCAGACTAAAAGAAAAAATATATCATAAAGTAAACCCTAAATTTTCTAAATGTAGTACATGATTTTCTTGGTACCCATGGCTGCGGGAAAACAACCTTGTTATTGGCCCTGGATAAATCTCTCAAGGCGAGTATTGCAAACCACAAAATATACAAACCTCATGACTATTCAGATGTTAATCTCAAAATAAATATATAATGGAGTGTAAACCGTGTTACAATCATCATAAAACCTCATGTTTTTGTTTCTTCAAGTTGCAGGGGAAAATTAAATACGAAGGAAAAAACTACAAAAGTAAAAAGAAAACGTAGACAAGGAAAAATGCAAGAAATTAACCATCTATGTCTCCACCAACCATCAATGCCTCACTAGGTTTCCACCATTTTTTAGGTTTTGCCGTGAGAATTCTTAATCTAAAAGGGTTTCGATTTTTTTATTTTTTTTTAATTTATTAGGTTTAAAAGCTTAAGGCTATTTATGTCTATTTAAGTGATATTTTGGATACATTTGAAAGCTTTTATAAAAAATGACATTTTTGAAATTAGGGGCTAATATTTGGCTATATTTGATAAATACTCATTTTGAAACCCATGATGTCACATCCTGGCCCGAGGCGGATCACTTCCCAGGCCCGCTCCACCACCGTAGCACGATATTGTCCGCTTTGGGCTTACCATTTCCTCACGGTTTTGTTTTTGGGAACTCACGAGCAACTTCCCAATGGGTCACCTATCATGGGATTGCTTTAGCCCCCTTCTCGCTTAACTTCGGAGTTCCTACGGAACCCGAAGCCAGTGAACTCCCAAAAGGCCTCGTGCTAGGTAGAGATGAGAATATACATATAAGGATCACTCCCCTAGACGATGTGAGATGTCACACATGAACAACACGAAAGCTCCTCTAAAATAAAATAAAAAACACATATACAAAGAACAGTCCAATAAAAAAAAAAAAACTAAAATTGAAAACCAAAATTTACAAAATCAAGAAAATAGCTTTTATTTTTTTCTTTTATTTTCTTAAATTAAAAAATGAAATAGTTATCATTTTTTTTAATTTTAAAAGAAATAAAAACAAAAATTGAAAACGAAACTTATCAAATGGTCCCTTAATAATAATATAGATTTCAACAGTTTACTAAAAAGACATTTCTAACAATAAATGTGGTTCACACACTTTTATTCTACTCCTACACACTTCTATCGATTTCTAACTAATAAATTGAATAAAAAAAAATTCAATAAACATAAATGAGCAAAAATGTGCTGAAAGCTAAAAGAAAATATGCAAAAATCATTTTTCTTCTAACACAAGCACTTATTATAAAGTGATTCGATGCACAGGCAAAATAGGCGCCTGCCTAAGAGCAAGTCCATCGAAGAGCATAGCTCGGTGGATAGGGGACCAAAAACACCCAATAGGCTGCCTCCCTTGCTCTAGCCCATGCAGCAATTGGGCTAGGGGTGGGCCCATGGGAGAGGGAAGGCAGGAATCAACAGCTCGAGTACCTGAGAGCGCTGATGCGAGGCTGACGTCAATCACGTTATAAAATTAATAAAAAATGTATAAAAAAAAAATTAATAAAAATGTAAAAATTTAATAAAAAATCTGAAAAAAATGATTTAATTTTTCTATAAATTTCTTATCATTATCTTCCACCTTAGACCACAATTTTATATTTTCTCAAATACTTTTGATTGTAGTTTCTTATTTAATTACATGTGGCGTAATGAGACTAATTAAAAATCATATCCGAAATTACAAATAAAATTATTTTTTATTATTTTATTAAATAAAAAATATTAATATTGTATTGTCTATTGTCATGACTATTCAATTTAAAGATGAAAATATAAAAGATAATTACTGTTAATTAAAGATATTTACTATTCATTATTCATTGAAGGGGATTTAATAGGTGGTAGCCCTTGGGGGCCTCTAATGCCCATGCTCAACAGGTCCTCACCTAAACGAACACAAAGAAGCCTATTTCCACACCGTCCCCTAAACCTAATCATCTCTCTCTCTCTCTCTCTCTCTCTGTGCAGTCGATGTTAGGGTTTGTTGAGGAGGTTCTTGAAGAGGGTTTCTTCGGTAAATGCTCTCTCCCTTCACCAATCTATCAGTTCCCTCTCCTTTCATGTCTTCAATCGACGTCCTTCTCTTCTCCTCTGCTCCTTCAGGGCCTCACAAAACCCTAATTCTTGGTTCCGGTTCTGACATTTTCCACATACTTGTTCCTTATTCTCAATCTTCTCGCACACAAAATTCCTGCTTTTCGTTGGGCGTTTCTGGAGTTTCTGATTCGGTTCTGCAAACGAAATGAGTGATTCTAAGGTGGGTTTTCTCTTTCACATTTGACAAGTTTGTATTTCCGTTAAGATTTTCGTTTGAGGCGGATTATGTCGATGAATTTTTACTTGTTTTGTGGAGTTTTTTAGTTAGGAAGGTTGTAAATTTGGGTAGTGTGACTGTGAATTAGTTCGTGCTTGGATGGAACTTCTATTGGTCTGGTGATGAATGCGAAGTTTTTGGGTGTTTTTGCCTTCATTTTTGCCAACTTTAAAACTAAAATGTATATGAATTGTGGAAATTTATTGTGATGGCGATGGCAACTCCGTTTTGACAATAGCTGTTGTATCTCACTAGGCTCTAAATTATCTGTTGAGTAATAATGCAGAAGTAAAGTTTTTATGATCATTTCTGTGTCAGCATCTGGTTGCCCGAACTCGTGCTGATTTACTGCTAGGTTATAATGTGATTTTGAATACTAATGTTTTTATTGGTTTGGGTTTTACTCTTTCATTCATGTGCTTGAAAGCCTGCTGACTTTTGTTGTTATTTCTTGTCTGCAGCTGCTAGTATTTGGGTCATTTTCTGAAGATGAGACCAGGTCGTTGCTGCTAAAGCAATCACCTGGGAAGGCGGAAAAGCCTGTGGAAAAGAATGTATTGCAGTTTGGGTCTATAAATTTTGTTACTCCAAAATCTTCTGGTGAATTTAATGGTGAATCAAGCGGACAGAAAAGTTCTTTGAAAGCGCCCACCAAATCTCAGCCCTTAAGTTCACTTAATAAGCAGAATGAAGTTAAGGCTGTAACAGCAGCAGATGATAATTTACCTGCATCGACAGCCACTCCGACAGAAAATGGATTTACTGATAATTATGTTAATGTTTCTGCCCATAGTAATGGTGTGAAAGTGGTGGCAACTGATAATGTTATCTTAACTTCATTGCCTTTATCCAAAGACGAAGGTGGTCTCTCCAATCAATTTTCAAGTCTGGAATTGCAGAATAGAGAGCAGAATGGCTGTGTTGATGATTTATCTCTTTCTGAGATTAAGGGGGCACTTCAGAAGGCTTCAAATGCGCCTGTCACTGTTTCTAAAATCTTGTTGCCTCGTGGTCTAATCAATTCAGGAAATCTGTGCTTTCTAAATGCAACCCTGCAGGCCCTTCTATCATGCTCTCCCTTTGTTCAGCTTCTTCAGGAATTAAGAACACTCAAAGTTCCTAAGGTTCTTTCTCCTCATTGTTATCTGTTTGTTCAATTCCTTGGCTTGTGGTTTTAGGAGAATTGCTCGGAAATGAGTAGCTACCTAGCTTAACCCTGGTTCTTTGTCTGACAAATCACTTGACTGATATGTTGCTCATTTAAACTTGAATTGATTAGGTTGACTTTCCAACATTGAGTGCATTTGCAGAGTTCGTCTCTGAATTTGACATGCCTAGTGGTTCAAGTTCGAAGAACAAAGATGCAAGTGTTCTCGAGACTGGTAGGCCTTTTAGCCCTGCCATGTTTGAAGGCGTTCTTAAGAATTTCACTCCAGATGTGCCAACTAACATCTCCGGCAGGCCAAGGTTTGTGTCTGATATTGGTTGATACTTTTCAGTTCTAGTTTTTTTTATTTATATCTTAAGCCTTCTTATTCCCTGTATATTTGGTGATTAATTTTATTTAGTCTTTCTAAATAAAGAGGAAAGGTCAGACATGGATTGCAATCTTTTTTCTCAATTATGTCAGTTGTTATTTTGTTACCTTGTGTTTTTGTAAAATTTCTGTTGATAGGTTATAGTTTTTGCTCCGGATTATCAAGTTTGATTGACAATTCTCATGCTTGAAATTTTGTGTGATGGTTAGAAAAAATGCCACCGTCTGATATAGCACAATCAAGATGCCTGCAGTTATGGTGTTTCCACTGAATATATTGTCATATTTTCTGAAAACCTGCTATGTTTTTGTCACATCCCGGCCCGGGGGGGACCCCTTCCTGGGCCCGCTCCACCACCGTAGCACGATATTGTCCGCTTTGGGCCCTGACCACGCCCTCACGGTTTTGTTTCTGGGAACTCACACGAGAACTTCCCAATGGGTCACCCATCCTGGGAGTGTTCTCGTGTGAGTTCCCAGAAACAAAACCGTGAGGGCGTGGTCGGGGCCCAAAGCGGACAATATCGTGCTACGGTGGTGGAGCGGGCCCGGGAAGGGGTCCTCCCCGGGCCGGGATGTGACAGTTTTCCTTTCTGTTTTTGGATTGTTACACCAATTGCAAGGAATGTAATGTGTAGTACGGGATTAGACCCTGAGTTTTTAGAAATTAATTGTTGATCGTAAAACTTTTTAACAAATAGGTTAATCTTCTCTATTATTTTGAGTTGGCCAATATTTTCTGCCCAGCATATCCATGGCCATTATATCTATATGTCTATATTCTACTTTTGATTTGTTTTAAGTATTAGGGAAAATGATAAGTCACCCATTTCAGTTACTGTTAAATAGTTTGTTATCTCTAAATGTAATTAGCTGTGCTAATGTTTGTGGTTAGTTAGAACTGTTATAAGGTTAGGCAGTTAAGGGGTATCTTTGTAAATAGCCAAAGGCTATATATATATGTCTTCACAGTGTACAAATCAATTATTCAGAAATATAATTGAAAGCTTACAGAGGAAGTTTCCAGTTTCTATATTAAGTTTCCTTTTGAAACTGTTGGTGTTTTTTCAGACAAGAAGATGCTCAGGAGTTCCTTAGCTTCATCATGGATCAGATGCATGGTGAATTACTTAAGCGTGAAGGACAATCCCCAAGCATTAACGGGCGCAAATCAACTCTCATATCTTCCGCAGAGGATGATGAATGGGAGACAGTTGGTCCAAAGAATACATCTGCAATAACCAGGACACAAAGTTTTGTTCCTTCAGAATTGAGTGATATTTTTGGAGGACAATTGAAAAGTGTGGTGAAGGCAAAAGGTGTGGCGGTTGCGTTATTATTATTATTGCCATTTAAGTTTTTATAGTTTTGCTAGCAGCTTTGTTAGATATATCTTTGTGTTATTGAATTCTTTTCGTTAGCACTTGCATTCTCAGGCTAGAGTAGCTTAACTTTTTCGTTTTTCCTCATAATTCAAATAGGTAATAGTTAATGTTGATTCACACGGTTTCATGTCTGAAAATTTTAAATTTAAATACAGCTTGAACAGTATATCTTTCTGATTTTCCAGATTTTGAATTCCATATTTCCTGTGGGCCTGTGAATTGAAGAAAAATTAAATTATCTATGATACATGAGTTTTAGCAGGAATTCATGGTTATTTCTGTGGTTCCAAGTTAGATGCCATATTTGGTATTCTAGATGATGTACACCAATGTCAAGGACTTCCTAGTTGGAAATGTAGTTGAAAATGTTTCTGTTGTTTCCTAGGGATTTTTTAGATGAAGAGATATAGCTGAAGCTTTTAATCATATTTGTAACCAAAGTATCTATTTACTGGTCCATCGAAAGGAACTCCTGATATCAACAGTCAGGTTTGCTCTGTAGTTTTTTGCCCACTCACTGTTGATTCTATCTGGAGTTTATGTGTTCATTTGGTTTTTGTTGAGCAGGAACTAAAGCTTCCGCGACTGTTCAGCCATATTTATTGCTCCACCTTGATATTTGCCCTGAAGCTGTTCGTACCATTGAAGATGCACTTAAGTTGTTTTCTGCACCAGAAACTCTTGATGGGTATCGAACATCAGCAGCTGGGAAGGTACTCATTGCTATTTTTTAATTTCTGATGTATGCCAGTATAAAATTGTTAGAATTCCAAGGTATTAATGCAACCGAGATACTATATAAGTCCTATGGTACCTCCTAGGCTTTGTATCGTTATGACATTTTATTATTAATATTAACCTTCTACATCGGTTTCAGGGTGGTATTGTGACTGCAAGCAAAACAATAAAGATACAGACCCTTTCAAAGATAATGATATTGCACTTGATGCGTTTTGGTTATGGAAGCCAAGGAAGCACTAAGCTGCTTAAACCCGTGCATTTTCCACTTGAATTGGTGTTGGGTCGTGAATTGCTTGTTTCTCAAAATACTGAGGTGATGCTCTTTTATATCTAATTAAACACTTTTTGAACTTTTATCTCGTGACCCTTATTTCTTCTTGATGAAGGGTGCATCGACTCTGATTGATACTTTATTGAGTTTTAGTTTGCTGTTATAGTGTGTTTTCAGTATGTCTTCTTTGACGTGTCTGGTAGGATGATGTCTGGTAGGAGTAGGACGTAACCTATAAACATGAATGATAACGCTAAACCCTATCCAAAGAAGAAAAGAAGTACTGAATTTTCCTTATTGTCGAGCTGTAACAAGTCTTGTTGTTTTCAATTAAGGTTTGCATACCTAGTGGCAGTTGTAGGCAGAATTTCAAATACTATTTTTGGTGCTTATTTTTCCATCCTTCGCTTCTGTAGGGTCGAAAATACATACTTGTTGCTACAATAACTCATCATGGGACAGAGCCATCAAAGGGACATTACACAACTGATGCTCTCTATGCCGGTCAGTGGCTACGGTTTGACGATGCGTCGGTCACGGCAATTGGGACCGGTAAAGTACTGCATGAGCCGGCATATGTCCTCATCTACAAACAATTATAAATGGGCAGTTCAAACAAGTAGTATACTGCATGAACAGGGTTATGTCTTCGTTTACGAGCAATTGTGGAAGCTAACCATGGAGTAACTCACTTCCCACTGGAGAGACCCCTCTCGTTCATATAGTTTATGGAGTGTCACCAGTTCTCTGGCCCCTGGGGTCGATGCGATAAACTTTGGTCAAGTCTCCATCCGATCGTCGATGCTTTTGAAAATGGCTGTAACAATTCTTCGAACTTGTCTGATTGCAGCAGTTTTCAGGTTTGTTGTGATGTAATATATATAAATATTTATATAGCGAGACAGAGAGAGAGGCCGGTGCCCCCAATTATATCAAGTGAATGTTTTGATATTAATCTTCAACTATATTTGGTGAATGCTTTTAATTATCCAATTACTTCCTGTTCTGTTGCACGACCATTATGTGAAGTAAAAATTTTCGGTGTGCCGGTACGCCAATGGCGTGTTTACCAAACGGGGTAGGAGTAGGGAGAATCGAATTGCAGGCCTTCCCAAGCATTTCAGAGTTCACTAGCTTTGTGGGAATTGGAAAATGAGTAGGGTCCGCCTAATATTCAGAAGTGAATTATGAAATTACCCTGAATTGGATTTCAGAGGTGGAGTTGGTATCTTTGTTTTGAAAAGATTTGGTTTTCTCACAAAAATGCACAAGGGATTTAGGACTTGTTTTAACTGAAAAACACTTTTTGAGTTTTATACGTTGAATTCTTGTTTGGTAGGATTCTTTTTAAATATTGGAATCAAAACTAACTTAAAAACATAGGTTATTTCTTAAAAATACTGAAAGTGAGTTTTTAGAGTTTTTTTTGCTTTCTCCTCAATATCTTTTTTTTGCTCTCTCCTAACCCTTTCTTTTTTCTCTTCTAACCCTCTCTTTCCTCTCTCCCCACGTCACACATTGTCTTCTTTCTCCCTCCTTAGCCTTTGTCTCATCACCCTCTCTTTCTTCTCACTCCTCACCTGCTCACCGTAATTTTTTGCTCTCTCCCTCACCTCCTCACCCTTACCTTGTCTTTCTCTCTCCTCACCAACTATTTCATCTCTTCTCTTTCCCAATTGTCTCTCTCCTCCAATTTCTGCTCAAGCTAGTTTGAATTCAAACTAAAAAAATTATTTTTAAAAACTCAACCAAACAGATTTTTTGAAGTTTTGAGATTTAAAAGAAATCTGTTTTTAAGTGATGTTATTTGAAAATTATTTTTAGGAACAATCAAAGTTTATGGGTAGGATACCAAACGGGCCTTAGTTTTCACACAAAAATGCACATCATTCATGATTTACATAAATATTGGACATATATGAAGAATCAAAAGGAGATCAAATTTCATTGTAGAAGAGGTAAATTGTTTTTGTTTTTTTAAGAAATAATGTTATCTTCACTAAGGGAAGGGGAATGGGCTTAGCCTCACAATGGGCTAGCAATAATATGATTCAAATTCGTTTTTGGTGAAACTAAACCTAAAACCTCTTACTTATAATTGATAAGAAATATTGTTATACCGTAATACTAAGTGGTTGTATAAGAGGTAACTTAGATATTAATTATATAACCAGTTTAATGTTTTTATTTTCTAAACTTGTATTCTTATAATACAAATTCAAGGGATACAATAAAAATTGTCACTTAGTATTACGGTCTAGTGGTATTTATCTTCACTTGTAATTGAGAGATTTTAGGTTCGATTCTTGCCAAAAACAATTTGGTTTTAGGTTCGATTCTCGCCAAAGACGAATTTATAAGATAAAATCATTTGTTTAAAAAAAAAAAAAATTGCAATCCCCATCAATTTTTAGGGTGACTTCCAGTTTATGAAAAATAAAAATCCAAGAAAAGGAGGTTTTTTTAAAATTAAATAATTCTCCGTCCAAACCTAGTGTAACTAAACAGGCCACAATCTCCTGACTTCTCTTCGATTTGACAAAATGGAAATCATGGATCAAACTTTCACTCTCCACTGGACCATGCTTCATCCGTCCATTCACCGTGAGACCGTTTCCGAACCCGAATGGTGTGATCTTCCGCCGCATACACTCCGTTCCCGTGATCCGCGCACTCGGGTCGGAATCATCCTGCCAGGGGGAGAATAAAAAAGAGGCCGCGACTCCCTTTGGTATGCTACTTTTGATATTTAGGGTTAGGGTTTATGATCCAGGTTGCTTAATTCTCAGCTTCTTTTAACTCTTAGCTTTAGGGTTTATATTATATAGTGCAAATTGGTTCGTTGGTTGAGTATAATTTCTCATCATATATCTCTAAAGAGTCCTTGGTTTGTGATCCAGGTTGCTTAATTCTCAGCTTCTTTTCTTTTTTGTTTAGTTTGTACTTGACGTTAAAATGGAATTGCAAACTGCAAACAGATAGCAAGGCAGAAGCATCAAAGAGTCGTGGAGTGCCTGGTTATTGGTCTATTTTCATAAAAAATGCCTAGTTATTGATCCTGTTTCATAAATAATACAGGGTTATTGAGTCAGTTTTATAAATAGTGCCCTAGTTATTGATCCATCATAAATAGTGCCTAATTTTTCGTCATGTTTCATAAATAGTGTCTAGTTCTTGATTCAGTTTGATAAATAATGTATAGTTCAGTTTTATAAATAGTTTCCACCTATTGGTTTAGTATTAGAAATATTGTCTAATTCTTGGTTTCGTTTCATAAATAATGTCTACTTATTGGTCCAATTTATAAATAGTATTTAATTCTTGGTTCAGTTTCATAAAGTTTGAAACTTAGACCCTATTTGGTCCTGTAAAAGCACCCATTGCGTCGAAAACGATGAACGCATAAGTAATCCTTTAAACAAAAAACTTAAGAAGATTATGTTCTCGGTAATTATGTCTAAAAATTCCCACACATTTTTTACATACCTACAATAATTACTTGTAGCTCTCCATCTAATTTCTTGAGCTTGCGTGTCATCTTAGAGAAATTTTTTGTTGTGGCCATAACATAAGTGGTATACCACGTGTTATTATGTAAGTGGTGAGAAATTTTATTTTTTATGTTATTAATTTTTTAACATAAGAATTTCACCATTTATATAAAAATACATAGTGTACCAGCTCATATTCTGGGCACATTGAAAAATCTCTAATAATCTTAACTACTATTGAGCAACAACACCACACAAATAAAATTGAGGAATGTAATTTAATTTGAAGCTTTTTCTTAAAAAAAAAAAATACACACACACACACACACACATATATATATATATATATATATATATCTATCTCTTTTGGGCCATTTCCAATCGAAGGGTCCAAAGGGTAGAAAAACGTTCGAAAATCATCTCCAACCGAGGGCAAGGCCAGAGGGGTCGTGGGCCCCACGAAATCTGAAAGGGCCAAAGAGCCAAAGGGCTGGACAGAAATGTGAGCATTCCTGTCGGTTATATCCGACAAGAATGCTAGGCCAAATTTTCAAATACAACGGCTAGCTGACGTTATCTAGCTTTTTTTTAAAATTTTTTTTATGGTTTTAATTTTTTTTTATTTACAATTTTTTTTCCTATAATTTATATTTTTAAATTTAATTTTTTTTTCCTATAACTTCTATTTTACAAAATTTGTTTCATATTTTTTTTAAATTCTATTTTTTTCTATAACTTCTTAAGCCATTATACAACATTAACTTAAATTAAGTAACATGAAACAACATTAAACAATATGAAACAACCTTAAATAACATTAACCAACATAAAAATTAGTCAACATAAAAATTATTCATTTAACAACATGAAACTTAAACAACATTTTTAAAAACATTTAACAACATAAAATTTAAATGCCTACTCTATGCTTCTTTGGGTGGTCATGCTGACGTCATTTACCCGTTGGATTTGAATTTAAGTTGTAATTTTTAAATAATAAATTATGTTTAACCCTATAATCTTTTGGTTCTCGATTGGAAACGATTTTTTATGACAAAACTAAAACAAGTCCTTTCACTTCGGTTCGAGATGGTTTTAACAACAACTGACAACGAAAGAAAAAAGAGGAGTGTGGAAGGTGGGCGTGTAAGCGCGCCCAGCGCAGATTTGTGTTTTTTTATTTTTTATAATTTTTTTTATCTTTGTTATTAAGTAATGTTATCAGATAATTTTTTATTAAGATGAAAAGATTTGAAGTCATTTGTGTTTTTTCATAAATTTAAACAGAACAGCATTGCATCGATCCCGTTGAAGTTTTCCGATTTCGAATTTAAGGTGGACCCGGGCCGAACCGCACACCGTGCCCACTCTAACTGTCACAGCTCAGTGAAAGGTAAGGAGAAAAATGGCGGAAAAGGAGGAAGCGAATGGGCCAAGAGGTCTGCTGTAGAAAGGGAGCGGACGATAACCTCTTTCCTTTGGATCGGAGCTTGCTGTCGAGAGGCACAACTTCTCCTTCGTTCAGATCCTCGGCTTCCTCGACTTCCAATCTCGCTCTCTGCTCGACCACGCCTTCATCCGCCGCGACACCGTCGCCAAATTCCACCCCGCCCGCTGCCCGCCGCGCAACATTCCTCTTTCCGATCGGTGCGCCTCTCTCTCTGAGCTTGATTTTTCAATTTTCCTATTAATGTACTTTTTATTGGTCGAGCGCTGTGAAATTGCTAGAGGTTTAAACGTTATGTGAATTTCTTAAAGATTGTTGAAGTTAAATTTTGAATTTTGGCTCAAATTAACGTGTAATTTTTTTTTTCTAGACACGAATTAGTTTTTGGATTGATGAGTCTGAAATCCGAAATTGTTCGAATTATAAACTCGGCACCAAATTTGTTAGTGTTCTTCACTAGGAGCTTTAGATTTTTTACCGTATGCTGTACAACAAAGTCTATGAGCAAGCAAAGAAGGCGTCGGGCTATGTTTTTTGGCACAAATGGAGATATTGACATTGAGAAAATGAAGCTGTCAAAGTGCTTTCAGGCTTTGCAGGGGCACTCCAGTGCCTTGTGAGCCTTGGCAAGAGACTCATTTCCATCAGGATTTCATCAAAACAAACGGAATCCAACGGCATGTACCTCAGGAGTGAGAGAGACAGAGCTGAGAGATGAATGAGAGAACAGGGGAGGAGTTTCTTGCTGAAATTTTCATAGTTGCGTGTACACCTTGAAGACCTTGTAGAAATACGCATCGCCCTCGTGCATGCACAAAATTAAAAATTTTAAATTAATGAATAACCGTTTGGAAATTAGAGTTTAGGATGAGGAAATGGGTGGAATTTGAAGGACCTGTTGCGGCAATAATAAGGGACCTCTCTGAAGATGGAGAATCTGGCTTTCAAGGGATCATCGCCTTCTCTGAAGATGGAGGCTGCAAATTCTTTAAACCCAATCCCGAATCGATCCTGAAATTTTAGTATAGGAATCGGTCTCACATTTTCATTCGTTCGGTAATCCCGAACTGAACTGAAATAAAAATATATATATTAATTTAGGGTTCGAATGGTATTAGAATGGAAGACCTCTGTGCTTAAATCCTTGCAACGCTCTTCGTATTTAACTTGAATAGTTCTGCAAGTGGAACTAGCTCACCAGATGGTGTAATTCAATTCATTCCTCAAATTTCGTTTTGTTTTACGATTTTTTACTTATACAATTTGTCTCAATTTTCATGGTTTTACCTGCAGATTAGATTTTGATTGATTCCTTGACAATGTACTGGTGTGATCATGCTATTTAGCACGTCGGTGCTCCATGAATATAGATGTTTGTGAAAAAATTGAAGCGATCATGTTACTCATCAATCTTCATTTGGTTCTGTATTTGTCATCCTGGTTGGATACATCGATTATTCTGTGATTGTATCTATTTGTGCATTGTTTGGTTTTATCTAGAGATAAGGTTTTTTTAGCTGGAAGTCAGAAGAACAATTCATAATTTTATATTTCAATTTGGGATTTCCGATTTGTTCCGAAATTTCAAAAATATTTCGGGATTCCCGAAATTTGAGATTACTGAAAATTTGGTTTGTAATTGATCTTTAAAATTTCATCCCTAAAAATTTCAGTTTGAGATTCGAGATACTAGTTTTGATTTGGTATCCCATACCGAACCAGCTATCGTAGCAACGAAAGCAGAATGTAATATTGTTCCTCAAAAAAAAAAAAAAAAACAAAGAAAGAAAGAAGCAAAATATAGTATTAAAATGATATTAATGTTTATAAGAAAAAATCTTTGAGAAATGCCAATGAGATTTTTTTAAAATAGGGTTCTTTACGTATGAGATGACAGAAAGTTTATATAAATTTTGACTTTTGAAAAAGTTTTCTTAGTATTTCTCAAAATTTTTTATTGTTATCGAAACACGAATAGTACACCATATACGTTATTGTGTAGGTGAGGAGAAGTGGTATTTTTTAAGTTTTTAATTTTTTTTTTAATATTAAAAAAAGAAAGAGGAAATTTGTCACCGTTACGACTGACGAGATTCGCCAATGGCTTTCTCAAGGCGGACGCCAGATGGCAACGTCCCAACGTAGGATTCTTGAGGCCGGGTCTCGGGGGCTCCAGGTGTGGTCCGGCAGCTAGGGTCCCTGGGTAGCTTACGACTTACGAGCCTTAGGTGCGGGTTCACGAGATCGTACTAGCTAGTTGCATTATTTATCACTTGGATAGTTCTTCCTGATAGCCCTGACAGTGAAGCTTCCCTGTAGCCTCCCCTATGTGGAAGTGCATATTTTATTTTATTTTTCTCTTTTACAAACACTTTATAGATGATAAGTAACAAACGCTCCGTCAGGATTCTTTCCTAAGCAAATGATGAGGATCTTCCTGATCAGCTTATCGGACTGTTTAAATTTTATCTAACGATTACAAATAGAGGATTTCTCTAAAAATTATAATAATTATAATCATTAAATAAAATTTGAACGGCCTATAAGTCTAGTCAAGAAGATCCTCACTACAAATCCGTAGAAATCCGTAGAAAATCACAAATCCGTAGCTATAGCCTAGGCAGGTGAACCACAAATCCGTAGAAAATCACAACTATTCCAGTGGTTCCGCAAGAGTCAAAATTCTCCACATCTTTGTTTGACTGGAGGCCTGGAAAATCGAGGTGGCGAAAGTCACTTGTTTGTTTATGGTTTAATTGCAAAATCGTATCAAGGCACGCTACACAACTAAGGACAAATGAAATATACATGAACATATTTCCAACACAGAGGGTAATTAATTTAGAAAAACATTTTTGTCAAGCTAACACACCAATTCATGCATATGACTTGGTTCTTCTTTTGTTAAAGAGTCCTATTTTATTTTAAGAACGTATTAGGAAAGCTAAGGTGCACACATTCTTCTCCTAAAAGGATTTTTCTTGTACAATCAGATTATGAATCCTGAAAGCAAAAACGGAATGAGAATGCAAGTGTGCTTTCTAATCCCAAATAGATTAGAAGACTTAATCATACTATGAATGTCAACCACACCCGACACTTATAAATAGGGTGCGCCAGAGAGGGATGAAAAGCTAAGCATAAAACAAGGACACAACAGAGAGAAAAGATTGGTTCTAGGCTATGTTGCACACTACGATATGACATTGGTATACATCAAATTTTAAAAAACGAAGACATGATATACGACATTAAAAAAAAAAATATATATATATATATATATATATAATATCATAAAATAAGCATTCAAGAGAAAACCAAACAATGCTAAGAGTAGTTCCAGCGTGTGAAATCTCCCGCTAGGCAATACACTATGCTATCCATCTAGTGAACAGTAACTGCCGTTAATGAACATTAATCGCATTTTGCATCTCCACCGTTGCACTTCAATAGCCATGATAATGGGCAATAAAATATTAGTATTTTTTTATTTTTAAAATAATACAAAAATAATTTTAATTGTAATTTCGGATAAGATTTTTAATCGTTCTCGTTGTGCCACATGTCATTATCCGAAAATTTATTAAATAATACAAAACAGTTTTATTTGTAATTTCGGATATGATTTTTAATCGTTATCGTTGCGCCACTTGTCATAAAATCCGAAAAGACAATTATTGATAATGGATTTCCGATAAGATTTTTAATCGTACTCGTTGCGCCACGTGTCATTATCCGAAAATACAATTATTGGTAATGGATTTCTGATAAGATTACTAACCAATCACGTCGCGCTACGTGTTATAATCTGTTTACAATCTTTGATGATAGATTTCCATCATATTCTTAACAAATGACGGCATGCCACGTGGCATTATCTATAACCTAATCTTTTCTGAATCATCCATATAATCCACCATCAATCCTCACAAATCTCACATCAATTTTCTCAAGATCTCTATCATTATTCATAATTTCTCTTTTTTTTTTACAACGTCTTCTTCTTCTTCAAGGATGATGTAGGAACTCAATCAGCAAGAGAAAGAATTGTTTAACCAATCAAAAGTAATGTTCAATCTCCAAGTGGCAAAAAATGAGAGGGAAGAGGATGAGGAGTGTAGAAGGAGAGATGATGAAAAATGGACAGAGCCTCACATTTCCGTCGAGTCATCCAAGCTGCGGCTCAGATCTGCAGGCCCAGCTGTTCCGAAAACCTTGATAGAAGCAGGCAACGACGAGGTACAGAACTCTTAGACGATTATTTTATCGGTAATAGTGCATTCGCGGATACGTACTTTAGACGTCGTTTTAGAATGGAACAACATTTGTTCAATAGAGTCATGATTGCTATTTGCAACCATGATTCTTACTTTGTGCAAAAGAATTATGCTTTTGATGCTATGAGTCTCATTCCTAAGCAAAAAATTACTACTACCTTGCAGATGTTTGTATATGGAGCATCTGCAGACCAAGTGGATGAGATAACGAGGATGGGGGAATCAACCATTCTTAAGTCCCTGATGAGATTTTGCGAAGTAATCGAATCTATCTACACTGCAGAGTACCTCCGGAAACCTACTGACATGGACTTGCAAATGTTTCTGAAGAAGGCTGATATGCGAGATTTTCCTGGGATGATTGGAAGCATTGATTATATGCACTGGACGCGGAAAAACTATCCAAGTGCATGGCAAGGTACTTATGGGCACAGAAAAAGAACAAAAGTATCATTTTGGAGGCGGTGACATCTTTTGATAGATGGATTTGGCACGCCTTTTTCGGGGTTCTGGAAGCTCAAAATGACCTCAACGTCCTTGCCTAATCCCCAGTGTTCAACTATGTCCTGCAAGGAAATGCACCAAAAGTCACGTACTGCGTCAACGAACGTATGTACGACGGTCCATACTACTTAGCAAACGACATTTACCCAAGGTGGTCAACATTTGTCAAAACAATACCACGTTCGTGAAGTGCAAATGAAAAACACTTTGCAAGCTGTCAAGAGGGGTGTAGGAAGGATGCAGAATGTTGTTTTGGTATCCTCGAAGCTTGCTGGGCGATTGTCAGGGATGCTGCTAGATTGTTTGATGTAGAGTCGCTTCAATCCATCATAATGACGTGTATTATTCTTTACAACATGATTGTGTAAGATAAGTACGATTATGATGCTGTTGATGAATATGAACCAAACACGATGAACAATTCAAGAACATATATATATTGCGCTCATGACACCATAGAAGAAACCGTGCAACATGGGCCATTAGAAAGGATAGATGTTACAATGAATTGGTTATTCAACGATATACTGCACTTCAAAGACCATGTATGCACAATGCCCAGCAAAATGACCTGATAAAGCACCAGTGTGCATTGAAACAAGCTGAAGATAATTAAGTTCATTTAGTGTGTTTGTTTTTATTTGGTGTGTTTATTTAATTTTAGTTGGTGTGTTCTTTTTAGTTTAGCTTTAGTGAGTTTTTTATTAATCGGTATGTTTATATAATTTTATTTGGTGTGTTTTTGTTATTTAAATAAATATTCTCTTAGTATAAATAACTTACCAAATTCAATAAATTTACTCACTTTCAATAAAGTACTAAATTCAATAAATTGAAAACAACATAAAATATTATATTCAATAAATAATAAATTACAACGTAAAGTGATTGAAAAATTATGAGCTCCGATTACAAAAACTACTTTATTCATCATCACTTAACCAATTTGTGATGCTAGGATGATCTTCTCTTGTGGTGCTAGGACCATCTTGTCTTGCTCTTGCTTCTCTTGCACGCCTCCTTCGTATCACGTCCGCTTTCTCTGACTTCCAAAAATATTTAGAATTTGAAGACTTCTCTTCTAAAAGCGTGTTCATAATCTCACGATCTCGTTGAGCCATCATTTCTTCTCTAACCTGTTCCCTTTCTTGCCTAAGTAGCTTTCTTTCTCTCTCATTAACTTGAAATTCTCTCTCAAGAACTGCAGCTTTTGCTTCCTCTCTAACCTTATCCGCCTCAAATTTTGCTATTTCCCACGCCAAAGTCAATTCATCTTGACAAGCAAGTTCTTCAATGTACTTTGCATAGCTATTCTTGAAAACACTCTTTTTTCTTTTTAAAGTCTTCTTACTTCAGGCCTAATTAGATAACGAATCGAATCGACGCTTGTTCAGGAAAGACATTTCGGGCACTTCTGCATCATCTTCATTAACATGCAAAAACGAGAAAAAAACAAATTAAATGTTTTATCTTGTTGTTTGTCTCGGTTTTGCAAGATTGGAGGGTCCTCACACAGATTTAAACACATGCAGTTAGATCTTGCTACATTTCACAACCATAAATCGGAAACGAGAAAAAAACAAATTAACACACATGGAGGAGTGATTTACCTTCATGCATCTTAGCTTTGCACGCTTGTTCCACCATGGATGGGTTAGAGAAACACGTATGAAGAAGCGGCTGTGAGATGGAAGGTTTGGAAGAATGGGCGTTGGGTGAGAGGCTGAGAGAAATGAGAGAGGGCTGCGAGGGTTGAGATTGGAGAAATGAGAGCCCTTCTGATTTTTCTAGAGAAAGAGAGTGGCTTTGGTTTCTTAAAAACGACGTTATTATTATTCTGAAAAGGAGATGGGAATGGACAGAAGAGGGCTCTGGGCTCGAGGGCAAATCCAATGTTGGATTAAACGCTGCTAGCGTTTTTGGTTTCAAATAACAAATGACGCTACTACATCTTTATATTGCAGCCGTTGCTAGAGTTGGACGCATGTATGGGCTTGTACGTGTTGGTCATCGCGTTTCCACCAAGCATCCCAGGTGACGAGTTCGATCGCATCGCCTGTCAAATTTCCACTTTATTTCTCTGTTTTGTTTCCAGCGCCTTTCCTCAATTCCAGGTTCAGGTTCGAACCGTGCCAGGTGTGTCCAATTCCTTTTATTTTGTTTTGTCATTTATTTGTTATTTTATTTTATTTTTTCTGTTTTTATTTTTCCTTTCCTAGTTTATTTTGTTTGCTTTTGCTCGATGTTTTTTTTTTTTTTCAAAAATTTGTTGTTCTAGGGAATAGTCTTTTATTTTATTTTCCTTTTATTTTTCACACCTTGAGGACAATGTGTGATTTAAGTGTGGTGTGGGAAAGTAGAAGTTTTGGGTATTTTAATTTTTGTGTCAGTTAAAAATTTTCGTTTTTAAGTTAATATCCATAGTTTATTTTAAACGGTAGAACAAATGGACATGGTGAAGATTAATCTCACAGTAAAGTCTTTTTATTTATCGTTGCTTAGACACTCATTCATGAATTATACTTTGAAATTTGCACATCACACCAACATGGTTTGTGGGGAGTGAGATTGGAACATTTACATTTTGTCCAAGTGTATTTTAATTTTTGTTCTAAATAAAGTAAAGCTAGTTGTTATAAATGAAGTAATAATTGTCCCACCCGAGGCTTTGCTTAGTAACTGGGCTAGTCCTGCCTAATCAACAGTGATTCTCGCGTTAAACAGTAGAGTTTTGGCATAGGGCATGGTGGTTAGTTGGTTTCGTAACATTTTCAGCTCGAGTTAATAAGTCCTTAGGGGTGCTCTACATCTAATGCCGTAAAGCCTTAGTGGTTTGGGAGTCATTGACCTAAAGTTTGCTACATGGGTTGGATCGAAAGCTTAAGGGAACTGACGTTGCATGACCACTATTGTTACTAAAAAAAAAAAAAATTATTATGAAGAAAAAAATAGAGAGAAAAAATTGATTATATAAGTGTGTGAAGAATTAAATGAAAGGGATGAGAGGTAAGAGTTTCGGTCGAGTCTCCTTAAGTATGATGGTTCACTTTACACCGAAGGAAGTTTGTGAATTCTTTTCTAATTGATTCTAAATGGCTTTAGACTTTGTGGTGGGATTGGTTGGAACTTTGAAAAGATGTTCTAATTTTTAATATTTTCTATAGATTGCAACTTGAAAGTGAAAATTTTGTTTTAGCTAGGTTTTATTCAAGTTTTTAGTCCATTAGCTTTTATTTTGTTGTCTAGATTTGTTTTGCTTGAGGACAAGCAAAAAGCTAAATTTGGGGGTATTTTGATGAGTAGATTTTATATTCTATATTTAACCTTATTCTTAGTATATTTTGGTTACTATTTTGGAAGAATTTTGATACTTTGAATTGTATTTTCAATATAGGACTTTTGATTTCCTCTGGAGCAAAACGTGATCAAATGAATGAATTTTGGAGTAATTCTAGTTGGAGGCGTTTGTGAGTCACTTAGCTTGATTGTATCCAAATATCAAATTTTTCCATCAAGCGGCTATTTTCTGGCAATAAAATAAAGGAGCAATGCGCGGTCCATTAGCTTTTATTTCTGGAGATGTGTTTAGAACGTTCTGATCTTCAAAACAAGCAATCATGGGTCGGATTTGGAGGATATTTGAGACTAAAACATGGATGGACAGTTTCTTTGCAAATTCTCCTAACTTAATTAGGGCTTTATTTTTTAAGATATTTTATTATTATTTAGTTTCCTAGTTGGAATAAAAGACCTTGTTTTTAGGGATTGTGTGATGGATGTTAGGGATATAAGGCTTTGGTCAAGTTTAGTTTAGGTGCTACGTTTCTTTTATGCGATTTAGGAGACAGAGAATAATTGATAGGGTTTTTGAAGATTTCAGATTTTTACTTTAAGGTGTTTTCAATCCTTTTCTTGATAATAATATTTTCTATGATTTTAATTATGAATATGCATAACTAATTCGTTTTGCTAGGGTGAAGCCCTGAGCCTTAGCATGAATAAATAATTAAAATTCATAGGATTGCTAGGTGATGCTAGAACCCATAAGTAATTAAAATTCATAGGATTGCTAGGTGATGGTGGATCCCTAGTACTTTTATGAATTGGTATTTAAAACTTTTTTCTTTTATTGTATTAGTTCGGGCAAATTTACTATTTATTTTTAATTAAAATTCGTTTTTAATATAACCCAATTCCAAAATCTCTTTTCTCAAATTTTATTTTAAGTAGTTAATTGGAATTGTTTCTACATAAATTATTGAAATAGTCCTTGTGGAGAACGACGTTGCATGAGCATCGATACTACAACAACCTTATACTCTTTCTTTAGGTTCTAAAAATCCTATCATACTTGTTAGAATTCCTCCGTCCCACATCGACCAGAAAGCTTGAGAACAAGCCCTTTAAATAAAATTACCCCACTCTAACTAACACCAAAGTCTTTTGCAATAAAACCTCACACTTGACGTATTGAGCAGGTGACCAAGTGGGGACAATATCGAAGTTGTTAAAGTGGGCTCTCGGCCCATCTACCTAAAATTCAACATGGTATCAGAGCCAAGGGACGAGCTCGTACTGCCACGTGAACGGGTGAGTCCCCTTTGGCCCCACGCGAATGGGTGAGCCTCGACATGGCTCCACATAGAGCAAAAGATGCCACGTGCCACTAGCCCAACGCGAATGGGTGAGCCCCAACTTGGCTCCATGTGGTTACCGATGTGTGAAACTTCACGTGTGACCCATAAAAATGGGGTTTCACGTGCGAGGGAGTGTTAGAATTCCTCTGTCCCACATCAGCCAAAGGGCTTGAGAACAAGCCCTTTAAATAGAATTACTCCACTCTAACTAACACCAAAGCCTTTTGCAATAAAACCCCACACCTAACGGATTGAGAAGGTGGCCAAGTGGGGACAGTATCAGTGTTGTTAGAGTAGACCCTCGGTCCATCTACCTGAAATTTAACA